GTATTCTTGATTGGCTGATTTTAAAACTTAAAATTCATAATCTATTCTTATTACATTTTTTTCCACGTTTTCTTTATTTTTTTCCAAATTGAGTCCTTCTATCTTTTCTTTTCAGAACATAATTGTCTTCAAATCCACATTTCCGCTCTTGTCACCTCTCAGATTTCCCCATCCAATTTTGTTTGACATTGTCGGTTCAAGGTGAAAATTATCGGGCTGTCCCCCCAAAATGCTGGATGTGTTAACACATTATCCCCACATGCACACGGCCAAAATGGCACAGCCAGTAAAAGCCTTTTCTGCTGAAGGTGAATTAAACTGAATAGTGTGCTGCTAACAGCAGCCTGTGACAGAGGCTTTTAGTGGGTATTTATAAAAGCTGTCAAACACCCAGGAGAGGTGCAGAGGAGAGGACAAGGGAGGAGAGGGGAGGAGTTGGAAGCAAAATCCAAGGGCAGAAGAATTAGCAAAGAATAAATGGATGAGAAAGAGTCAAAAAGATGAGGATGAGGAAAAGAGAAGGAAAATAAAGAGGAGTGATAAAAGGCAGGACAGCTGAGGTATAGTGAGAAAGAGGGAGGATGTGTGGAAGAAAAGGAGATGCAGATGAACAGGAGAGAAACTTTCTGAGGAAAGTGCAGGGAATAAGGTGTTAGAGAGGCAAACTAGATAGGAGAGGTAACAACTGATTAGAGGAAATGGTGATGGCAGTAAAGAAGGAGAAAAAACTCAAGAGTAGATTATCAGCCTCTTTGTATTCTTTATATACATTCAGGGTCTCACTGACACTTAATTTAAAAGCTTTTCCATAAAACACTCAGAGTCTGGTTCAAGATAGGGACCAGAGAGTCCAAGTGTGAAGCCAGACCAGCGGGAACTATGTGAAGAATTACACTCTATCAGAGTCCTTTTATACAGGTCCTCTTATCAGTTTCTAACGCACATCACAGTCACACAACAATAGTCCCCACTCCTGCTGTACTGGAGCTCTTCTCCAGCCTTTAAAAATCAACGCCAATGTCTCAAAGACCTATACTAAAGTAAAGAGTTAAATTTGTGCTTACAAGTCAAACACATGTACAGACTGTAAAGTTCAAAAGGATGAAGGTAACCGAAGAGTTGGAAAGGTGAACACTAGGTATAATGGAAGAGAGGAGGTGTCGTTCTGTCCACAGGGGTGCCTGAAATTCCTGTTCAATGAAGTTTATTGCTGTAGAGTCAAATACAAGTGTTTCCATGAAATAAAAGAAATTAAAGAATACAGAAATTAAATAGTTTAGTTTAATTTATTAAACAGTGGAGCCAACTGTTAACTTAGCACCAACAAAACAACACAAAGAGAAGGAACAACAGCAGACAACAGACAGAAAAAAATCTTTTGTTATAAAAAACAAAAACAAATCCAGAGTTATTTTAAATTCTGCAGAGATGCAACATCACCAAGAAGAAAAAAATAGAACAGACTCACTGACAGCTGCAGTCCAGACTGAAACATTTCTCTCTTTAAGGTTCTCACCCTGATATGTAAGCTGCTGTATTTTATAACTAAGACATATGACTCTCCCTTTGGTTTCACCTCCATTGAAGGATTTACTCTCCTTATCCTCGAAACAATTAGGATTTCTAACATTTTTAATGTTTACAGTTCTACGCCAGGCTTCAGACACGGCCTTGTCCTAACATCAGGTTCTGCTGTTTCGTGCTAGAAGATGATCAAACCCAACAGGTCTGAGAGAAGCAAACACCCACAAACAGCGTATCATGCAAAGCTGCATTAAAGGTGTAATGAGGGGTGAAAATGAGTATGACAGGTCTCTTTTTAAATGAGTCTTTAAGCTGTATCTGGTCATTGTACGTATGTAAGTAGCAGTGAGATAGCAGGTTGCAGGTTCCCACAGGTGTCTGAGTTTTTCAGAGGTTTAAGAATCAAACTGGTGATTGTGTTTGTGTCATCAGTCATGCTCAAACTGGTGTCTTCTCCTTCAGAACTGCCTTCTGCCAAGAGTACAGAGTCCAAGTATTTCAAAAGTATTTCATCAGAGTCTGAGTCTTAGCTTCAGGTCTGTGATTGTTATTTTCAACTGAACACAGTTTCGTTGGAGCCGGAATAATACTGGCTTTCTTTAAATAAAGGATAAAAAGGACAGTCTCAAGAAAGCTGGAGCATTGGACAGCATGCTGAGAGGGCTCTTCAGTGCAGGTCTCACAGAGAGAATAAAGATGTCATCTGGGCCCATGGACTGACTCAACAAAATACAAACAAAAGTACTGCTTCAGTTTTTTACAGCAGAGCTCTGAGGGTTTATAGAGATGTACAGTATAAGAGTCAAAACCTCCCAAATCTAAAACTCCAGTACTAGTTATTAAAACAATCTTTTCATTTGCAACTATCAGTGTAAGTTATAATACCTGTGTTAGTCTGACTTCAACACAGACATGTTGGTTTATTTCAAGAGACAAATTAAAAGATTGCTCCTCAAATTGGAATAACCTGTCATAACTTTCAATGCACCGGAAGCCAGTGAAGAGAGGCTAAAATGGGGGAAATGTGGTCATATTTACGGCGACCAGATAAAACATGAGCTGCAGCATTTTGTACCAGCTGTAAAAAATAGAGAGGTTTGACCGGCACCAAAAAAAGTGCATTACAATTAGTTTTTTGAGTCAGTGTTGCTGCATGTTCTGTGTTGTTTACACCTTTAGAAGGCGCCCTTGGCGAAGAAGTGTTGTAAGCGTCAGAGACACCGCAAGAAAAACTAGCGTCACTGTTTTTTCTTTCAAGCAGCCAAGAGCAGGAGCTGAGCACGAGTTTTCTTCTCATATTCAGAATGGCGATCTTGATTTTTGTTTTTCAGATGATAAATCAAACCCGACACAGAGAAACTCTTTGCAGATGCACCCCCCTCTTGAACTTTTAGCATTACTCATCATGCAAAACACTATCTGTGGTTCTCACATATATTGAAATATATCCACACCGCAGACATGTTGGCTCTTATCCAGACAAACATGCTTGCTGTGGTTTCTGTCTGCATCATCACAACATCCTGTTTCGGCTGTGTTGTGTCGGTGATGAAGTCTTTGGGCCGAAAAATGAAAATGCACTTTTGGCCCATTTGGTGGCCAAATTTGCATCCCTAGTTAATACATTTTTAAGACCTTTTAATGTTGTATTTAGGGCTTTATGAGAGTCTAAGTAAACTCTTCGCCCAGCAGAAGTATCCATCAGCAGCCAACAAAATGACAACAAGAATATGAAAAAAATCTAACAAAAATTACAGATAATGCAGAGAGACCAGACTTGCAGCAACCTCTCGGTTCAAGCGCATCATTTGAATATTATGGCAAGTCTGTGGGGCCTGCAAGAAATAACATTCAGATTGAGGATTTTTTGTGAATCAAGACAAACCAGAAGCTATCAGATCACACGTTTGAACTTTGTAAACTAAATGAAAGGCTTCATTACTTACCTGACTTTGGCTGAGGTGTCCATAGCGATCTTGTTGATGTAGCGATTTGAATTTATAATAAATGTCTGAAGATTAATAATCATACATTACCATATTTATGCACTGGTTGAAAGGGGCACCACCCACCCTTAATGGTGGGAAAATAAAGAAAAACAAAAGTTTAATTCAGAAATCAAACATTAAGTCAATCTTAAATCAATCAATCTCATATCTCAAGCTGACATTTTCATTTCAGGGTCTCCACTTCTGGAAGAACAATAACAGACAAGAACTGTTTATTACAGGATCAATAATGGCACAACATACATGAAATAAATGATGATAAGATGATGAGGATAATTAATAATCAATGAACAAAGAAGCCTATGATTGCAAAAGTTAATGATAGTGAGTGAATATGCTCTAACATGTAAACCTACATTAACTCTGGCGTACAGCTGAATTTGGATGTGGATTTGGATAGGATTACTAGAATAAGTGAATATCTGAGTCATGACCGCATGAGACAGCATCAGCCCTCTTTGGAGCTCTGGAGGTTTGCATACTTAAGTGAGACTGGTCCTTGGAGAAGATGGAGCAGGTTCCGAAGGTCCAGGGCTACCGGTGGTTCGAGCGGTTCAGCTCAGAAGACGACTGAAGTCAGTCGAAGGATGAGCCAGGTGTTACAGCCCTCGGGCCCGAAGCAAAAGCCAGCGCTGTGGATCTTGTGGATGCTCGTTTGGATGCTTCTTTGGTCTCAATCAAAAACTCTGGCACAGAGGATGACCTGGGCCTGCTGGGTTTGCGTTCAGAGGTGACGTTGAAATCACGCAGATAACTCAGAAAAACGAGGCTTGATGACCAGTAGAAACTTTCAAAAATGGCTTCGCGAAATTAAAGAAAAATCAATCAAAGGCTTAATCTTGAATTGCTATGCGCACAAAAAGTTGAAGTTTCAAAACTTGAACTAAGACAATGTTAAAGAAAAATCAACGTGAATCAACACGTGGCGTAAAACTTACAAGTCATGAGGAAAAAAAAGGAGAAAACCTTCATCAGCATCAATTTCAATGATCACTTTACCTTTGTCAGACAGAAACAGCCCTCAGTACCTGACAAAAACAAACAGAACAACACAATCAAATTTAGTTGTTGATAAATTATGTTATTCTAATTTGAAACTACAAAACTACAACAGAATAAAGGAAATAATCTCTGAATCCCCAATGAGTTGGGTAGAAACTTACAGCTGACTTTTGAAGGTTTGGTTTAGTTATGAGCTCACTTTTGTCTGCTGCTGCATCTCTGTAAGAAAAAGAAACAAGAACAGAGTTAGAAGGAATAATCATCATCCCTGAATGACTGAATGAATCAACATTTGAAGAATACATTTAGCACTGGCATTGATTCTTACTCACCTTTTCTGCAGACGTCTACCATCTTATTTTTAAAAAATCATCAAAAATTATATTTATTGTGACTCGTGCTTGTGTGCGTGTTTGAGCGTGTGTGTGTATACTTCCTATTCCAACAACAAACAGAGCCTCTGCCTCAGTCCGAGTCACTGTCCTCATTCCACCTTGAGAGCAGGAAAGTCCTGTAGCGGAGACTACTGTTTGTGCTGGAGCTGAGCCCTGATGTTGAGGGCGTTGTTTCATCAGGGCTGTCTTCGTCACTCGTCCTCTGCCTCTTTGCACTTACCTGCTCAGGGCTGCCCTCCTCCATGCTCCTCTTCAAGGAGGAGACCAGCCCTGATGTTGAGGGGGCACACTCTTCTGAACCCTGAGCTTCAGAAGATGTGCCCGGAGGACCAGCAAGAGGACTCGGAGGCAGTGGTAGAGGACTGAAAGGCGGAGCAACAGGTGAACCAGCAGGGACTGGAGGAGACAACTGGTCCCACCTCTGCCAGAAGTCATCTGGTGGGAACTCCTGTTCAAGTGGGGAGTCAGGTCTGACGACTGCGTCGTCCTCCTCCTCCTCAGACATGGAGCCGTAACCAGAATCCTCACCGTCAGAGGAAAACCAGTCGTCGCTGTCGTCAGTGTAACTGTCATCGTCATTGTCATCGTCAATATCGTCACCCCCATCACCTGCGATGTCCACCTGTTGCTCGATGGCCACCTCAGCCTCCATGCCTTCATCTCCACCTGCCAAGACAACAACATCATCATCATCATCATCATCATCATCTTCAGAGGAAGAGATGTAGATTGGAACAATGTCACCTGGGATGTCGTCCACAACTATGATGACATCAGGGAGGATGTCCTCCACTGGCCGCTCCACGCCATCTGATGAGGAAGAGTCAGAGCGTTTAAGAATAAGATTTTAAGGTGTGTCTTCTCCAGTAACTTACAATATTTGTCTTACAGAAGTAAAAACACTCAATTAAATCTTGTAATCCTAAATTCACATAAATTTCTTACAACTGTTCTACATCAACTGATTCATGAACACAGGAAACGACTTTTAACTCTTATATCAAACATCATGGAGTCGCTGTATTATAAAGAAATATGAACCCTCCTGTGTTAATTAGCTCTGATGTAATGTGTCAATGTTATATTTTCACAATGTTCAAAACTTTGATTTATGAATTTTAGATGGATTAACATATGAAGCTGAAGAGTCTGAGCTACAAATTAAAAGCTTAACTTTATCAAAACTATGATCAAATGGTGGAAACAAAACGTATAATAATAATAATAATAATAAATTTTATTTGAAAGCGCCCTTCAAAACACCCAGGGTCACTGTACAATATTAAAAGCAAGACATTCGTAATAAAACAATAGATAAAACAATAAGCAATTTAAACAGATAAAAATCGACACAGGGAATGGATAAAACAGCTACAGGGAGTATGCGGAGCGAAACAGGTGGGTTTTGAGTAGTGTTTTGAAAGTCAGTGTTTCTGAGATCGGGTGGTAGTGAGTTCCAGAGCTGGGGGGCAGAGCGACTGAAGGCTCTGCCCCCCATTGTACTGAGGCGGGCAGGGGGGACAGAGAGGTGGGTGGAGGAGGAGGACTGGAGGGAGCGAGTGGGGGTGATGACGTGCAGGAGGTCGGACAGGTGGGGGGGGGCAAGGTTATGGATGGCCATGTATGCGAACAGGAGGAGTTTGTAGATGATCCGGTCTTTGATGGGGAGCCAGTGGAGGTGCTGGAGGACGGGGGTGATGTGGTGATGTGTGGGGGTCTTTGTAATGATGCGGGCAGCTGAGTTTTGGACCAGTTGGAGTTTATGGAGAGATTTCTGGGGGAGGCCGAAGAGGAGGGAGTTGCAATAGTCCAGGCGGGAGGTGACAAGGCTGTGAACAAGGACGGCGGTGGAGTGGGGAGTGAGGGAGGGACGGAGTCTGTTGATGTTGCGGAGGTGGAAGTAAGCGGTGCGAGTAATGATGTTGATGTGGGAATGAAAGGAGAGTGTACTGTCGAGGATGACACCCAGACTCTTTACCTGGGGGGAGGGGGAAACTGGGGAGCTGTCAATGGTGAGGGAGAAACTTTGGATTTTGGAGGTGAATTACCGTGAGACCTCCACCGCGGCCGTTGCCACGGGGACGGCTGATGTAAACAAAGCCGGGAGGAGTGGAATCATTGAGAGCAGAGAAGTCAGTGGGTTGTTGCCAGGTTTCAGTTAAAAAGAGAAAGTCGAGCTTACGGTCGATGAGGAGATCTTGGACGAGATGACCTTTGCTTGTGAGTGAGCAGATGTTCAGCAGACCGAAGTTGACAGCGGAGGTGTCATGTTTGATAGCAGTAGTGTGAGCCGACCTAGCTAGGCGGGCTAGTGAGCTGTGGTTGACGGCGCGGCCGGAGTTTCTGGAGGGGCGACGAGAGGTAGATCGTGTAGCATTGATAGCGCTGGAGCCACAATGCTGGACGTGTCTGCGGGACCCATGGTGGATGTAGCGCCGGCGAGGTACTCGGGTGATGTCCGGGTGATGATGCAGCTCCGGCGGCGGAGACCTCGGTGCAGTCCGGCGGATCCGAAAAAGGTCGGCGACAGGGTATTGGAGTAGTCCAGCCACAGGATGATGGTAGAGCGACAGCAGTATCCAGATGAGCCCAGACCAGATGAGAACATTGTTGGGCCACATGATGGGGAAGGAACCGGCGAGCTTTTGAAAGCCGGCGTTTTGACAGCCGGTTAGCATTAGCAGCCGGGGCTTAGCCCGTGCACTTGTGGACAAAAGTGCCGGAGTTATTTGTGGGAGAGAAACTGTTTTGGCTGTCGCAGGCAGGGAAATGGACAGTCGGCTTCTCACGTAGAATCACGGGCCATAAAAGCGATAAAAAACAAGATATACACGACTTTTTCTGCCGGTGAGCAGCGGCAACATACATGCCAGCGTCCACCCACCGGAAGTGTAAGGAGAAAACAAAATCAATTCAGTGAGAGATTGAGTGAAAAGAAAGCTGAAGTAACTTTATCTATTTTTACTGTTCACTGACCTGAAATATTCTCAGAAGAAACAAACATCAGTGAATCATATATGAATAAATAAATAAATAAATATATATATATATATATATATATATATATACAAAAATAATAAATGCTCAGAATTAAAGCAAAACGCTTTAATAAAGAAATCAACCACACACAAATGTAAATAAATATATTTTCCATCAAACTAGCAAGCCACGAAGCTTTTAGGTTTTAATCTTGTTTCCACGCATGTTATATCAATATCAATATCAAACGAGGTTCAAAGTTATCTTGCCAGCACGGTAGTCGTTCATCGGTTCGTCCCCGAGCAGCAGGTGGTCCTGGTCCGGTCTCCTGGAGGCCATCTTCAGTGTTCCTGGGTATCCGCAGTCGGCAATCTCTTCAGAGGGTTTGTTTTTAAAAAAACAGTTGGTTTTCAGTCGCTTTCTCAAGCTTTCCAAAGGTTAGCTTCCCACAGCCAAAGTTTGCAGCTACTCTTGTCAAGGTCAGGAACAAAAGGGGAATCTGGAACATTGATCTGAGTTTAAATAACCCCAGTTCCGTATCGATGGCAACGACTGACGCACTGACGATGCGTATGCGTGAGAGTCAAAATTAAAATCGATACAATTTATTTATTAAATATGATTTCATTCCAAGTATTTTGCTTATTTTGTTTTCCTTTTCTTTTTTTTTTAAATAAATTTATTGGGATCAACTGTTTTCTATTTGTTCCATTTTTATGTTTAAGCTGCACAGACACAAAAGGCTCTTTTATATCAGATAAGCATATTTATAAAGAACAACCCACATGAGTGACAATAACCATCAGAACAGCTTATTGCAATATTTTTTTAAGTGTTATTAGCAGTGAGTATGAGTTAAAAGCATTTCTTGAGCATGAGCATGACATATTTTTGTCTAACACTGTAGCTACTTATACAGCCACAAGTACAGTTTATAAGAAATTGTGTTACAGTGCTGTCACTTTACTAAAAGCACCCAGAGTCATGTTGTGAGTATTGATAAGACATTTTCCATATTGAGAGTCATAGAAATCATAACCTTTTTATTGATATATAGAATGAGTTTGGTAACACTTAACTTGACACCTATCTCTATAATACATTTTATATATAAGTATAATGCATTATGATCAGGTTATAGCACTGTATAACTACAATTATAAACACTCATAAATGATCATAATGCTTCATAGCAATAATCATAACACATTATAAAGCATTTTATCATGACTTATAAGGTCAATTATTATAATGTGCTATAACTTTTAACAACAGTTGCATTGCATTATCTATGTGGGCATTATCAGTGAGTTGTTAACAGTTATAACACATTATAATACCTGACCCTGTTAGGATAGGCCTCAAATAAAACTCCAAATAACTCTGTCTAACTCCAAATAACTGCTACAGAAAAATGGTAACTATTTCCAAATACAACAACATGGATTTTCACATTTGTAACTCATTATTTAACATCTCAAACACTTCAATATGAGACTCGTGACTGAATATTTTTGTGTTAAGAAAATTAAACTCAATGACTTTTCAATTTAAACTAGTTTTTCACTTAATATGTTGTTGGTCACAATGGTCAGACTTGAGAAATATATAATTTTTATTAATATTGAGACTTTTTTTTACCATGGTCATAAACAGTTATGTACACCTTGTGGAAAGAAACACATTTTTTGAATATTTATTTAACAATTTTTATTGAAAATATTCCTCCTTTAAAATTCTCTGACAACCATGTTGTGTGTGTTTGTGCATGAGAAATTCCTCTTCAAGAAGAAGTAGAAGAAGCGCACAGCGTCCTCCGTGCTGGTCAGGTTGGGGTGTTCCTCATCCTTAGGGCTGGGATGTTTTTGCTCTTAAACATCATTAGTACTGTTTGCTTTTTGAGTCAGACCCTGATGCTCAATTCTTTGTCTTATTAGTAGCCTCAATCCATTCTAAGTGATTCAGGCCCAGTGGGTGTCAGTGGGTCTTGGTCCTGGGATGATCTGTTGGTTCACTTGCACTCTGACCTCCAGCAACAGGAAAAATACACAGAGGAATCCAACCCTACAGGATAGAAAAACACCAGAAAAAGTTTGAAAACATCTTTGAGAACTTTGTGTTGATGGAAAATAAATAGTTCAAATCGTTTTGAAAACTGGAATAATAATATAAAAGACTGCTCCTTTGGTAATCCACATATTCAAAATGAATTTTACAGTAGATTACAGCTGTTATCTCAGAGAGGGGATGACTTACCAAGATGACCAACAAAGACGCTTCCTCTGATCTACAGCTGGTCCTCCGTCATCTCTCCTCTTTTTGTGGTCCAGAATGTTCTTCTCCTCATGTCTGGTCTTGGTCCTTTTCATCCTCACTTTTTGTGGAGAAAAAGATCATCAACAGTCATGGTGTGTGTCCTCTGTGCTGATCTGGTTTGGACCCTCCTCGTCCTCTGAGCTGGTGGCTGATGATGGTAGTTTGGGGAGCAGGGCAGTCCTGAGAGCTCTACCCCAACAACGATTAGGCATTCAGTCCCCTGCCAATTGAAGACATAACATCAGAACACATAACATGTCTGCCAAGACAATAACATCATCATCATCTTCAGAGGAAGAGATGTAGATTGGAACAATGTCACCTGGGACCTCGTCCACAACCATGATGACATCAGGGAGGATGTCCTCCACTGGCTGCTCCACGCCATCTGATGAGGAAGAGTCAGAACGTTTAAGAATACGATTTTAAACATGTTACCCTGCTCAAACTGATAGGCTAACCTGGTGCAGAAAAGCAAATAAACAATAAGAAACAACTTGTAAAACTCAGTCCAGATTAGCAGCAGGTACAGTATAAAATCAGAAACAGTTCTTGTTTAGGAAAATGACCATATCTGACTTCTCAGCCAGAATGCGTGAGCGTTCTGGACAGATAGTGTCTCCTGCTGTAGAGAATACACGTTCGCTGGGTGTAGAAGAAGCTTGAACGCATAAATAGGAGAAAACGAGATCTGACAGGAAAGGATATGTCTTTTGTTGGTTCCACCACCATGCAGCAGGGTCCACAGACATAAGGACCGGTGGAACTTCCTTGTACATCTGCAGCTCTCTCTCCACTCGTTTCTTGATGGAGGTGGAGCTCTGCTGTGACACTATGCTCTGTGCCTCTTCCTCAGCGAACAGCTCCTCCAGTGGAGTCTTCCTGGGCAGGTTGCAGGGAGGCTGTTGCTAAAAAACAAAATAAAAGGTTCATTAGCATCATCACTAAAAAAAGGCATGATCATTGTTTGGATTGGAAACCTATATAATATCAGCTATTGAACACTTACACTTTCCTGCTCATCCTCATTCTCAGATTGCACGGTGTCCCCATCAGCTCCACAGACCTCCTCTGTTGACTACAAAGAACATAATTAGCATTTAGATCTTGGATTTTAACAGTTGTGCATGAATGACATTTCACCTGTTCAATCAGCTTTCTCTGGATCTGGTCCCAGATGGTGTCAGCAGCATCCAGTTGATGTTTAAAGCGTGGATCCAACACAGTGGCCACTTTGAGAAAATTCCTGATATCATCATTCTGCAAAACACATTCTTTAAATGTTTTAGCAAGCCACAGGATATTTCTATTCTTCAACAATTTCTTTCCAGGTGCCCTACCTCAATCACTTACCTGGTAGCGCTTGGATAGGTTTGCCCAAACCTATTTTTTAAGGTTTGACACAAAGACCGTGTCTTCATCTTTTTACAGCCAGGTGTTCCTCAAGCTTTTTGAAGATAGGCAGAATCTGTCCGCATGTGGGACTCTTTTCAGAAGACACGCAGAGTGTTGATGTGTAGAGCACCTTCATAAAGTTGATGAAGTCTTCAGCTCTCCTAAAGTCCTCCTCATTTAGTCGAGCAAGTCTGTATGAAATAGAATTAAGAACACATAGATTTTAGCTATGTACAGCGTCTTTGAGTCTTTGAAAAGCGCTTAACAAATAAAATGTATTATTTATTATTATTATAGAATGGAGTTAGAAATATTCTCTTTTTTCCTTAACAAAACACCTAACATATGCACTCCCTAGTCCTACATGAGCACATTCACTCTAATACTGTTCTTGTGTACAGGTATTTTTGTCTTAGCTTGTCTATCTATCTCTACCTGTCCCTTTCCAAATTTTGTCTCAGCCGTTGATCCAAGCTGGCTGCTTGAATTGCAGGGTACTGCTCTGTGAATCTCTCCAGCATTAGGTACAGAGAGTTCCACCGTGTTCTGACATCAAGTATGGGTGAGTGTCGGGGCAGCTCTGATAATAACAAGAACATCCATTTTAAGTTATTTAGCAGATGCTTTTCATCCTAGGAGACAAACATTACTTTTGTAAAATTGGACTCAAATACCATAGTACTACTCTGCAGAGCTCATAAATAATAATAAGAGATCAGACATATAAAGTCATTATGTCTCAGTGCACAACAGTTAAATAAAGTAAACTTTGTGTGTCTTACGTAGAAGTTCTTGCTTCTCTTGGAGAACCACCTTGGACATCAAGCACCTCTTCATCTACACAACAATGGCTCGGACCTTGGCCACCCACTCACTCACTGAATTTAGGGAGTATACACTTTGTGCAGCTAGATTAAGTGTGTGAGCAAAACAGCACAATTTCACAAATTGCAGGCGCTTGATAGCCACATCCATGTTGACAGCATTATCTACAGTGACTGCTAATATTTTATCAGATATGCCAAACTCTGAGAGAAAATCACTGGTTTCCTCTGAAATAACACAGCCAGTCTGTGCCTTGCATACTGCCTTTGTTTTTAGCACTATTTGCTGCATTTTGACTCAACTATGTAGTGTGCTGTAATGGTGAGGTAGTGGTCCTGTGTGATGCTACTCCAGCCATCACATTTGAGTGCAACAGAGCTGACTTCACTGAGCTCTGCAATAATGTTAGACTTCTCAGCCTTGTAACACGATGGGATTAATGTGTTTGACAGGTAGTCCCTGGAAGGTGGTGTGTATTTGGGGTTTAGAGTTTTCACCATATCCCTGCATAGTGAAGAAACATGTAATGTTGATGTTACTGTTTAGCTCGGTATCAATTAGCTTAGCTCTATCGTTATTGCTTAACTGACCTTAATGTTGGTGATTCCACCTCTGAAAAGGGATACAGCCTTTTGACGATGTGTGCAGTGACCTTTCTGTGGCACTCTTCCTTCTTTGTAACATACGCTTGAGTAAGGAGTGAAGACGGGGCAAACATTTATTTCCACTCCATGACCTCGTCGGAGATGCTTCATCATGTTCGTAGTGCACCCTCCTATGCACAAAACAGTTTTGTCACAAGTGTTGCATTTTGCCGAGTTTTCGGTGAGTTTAGAAAAGTAAAGCCAGGCTTTGGACCGCCAACAAACGCTATCCATGCTTGACTGACTCACTCGGCTATGCTAACACTTCCGATGGACGCTTCTTCGTTGGCTTTCAGTGGCTTCTACTTCCGGCCGGAGGACGTCTTCTTTTTTTCCGGTTGGCGAACTGGGTATCGAAACAAGGAATCGAAAATGAAAGTTTTGAACGATTCAGGGAGAATTGGAAAACTAGAATCGGTTCCAATCGATACCCGATATTCGATACCCAACCCTTAAGTCAATAAATTTAACTCTTAAAAGTTCATGAAACAGTCTGAAAAGCTGTTGGTCTAAAGAAACTAAAGAATAAAGGATTTATTCTGTCGGAGTGATAACTTGGCTTCTGGAGCACATAGAAAAACGGGAAACATCTCATTTTAACACAAATTTCATGATTAGACAGATTAGTGCTGAATGCATAAGATGTCATGATCAGTCATTTGTATTCTTTCACCAAAGGAATGCAGTTTTTATCAGTACATGGTTGAGCAGGGTTTTACGACCAAGGTCTGGAGGTCAGTGTCCTGCTCCTCAGACCTTATCCTGGGGTCCGTATGTTCACACACTTTAAGACGGTAAATCTCAAATGGGAGATCTGGGTTGAGGTGTTAATGTTTATTTAGATGGTCAGCGATGGCATCAGTTTGAAAGGTAATAAAAACTCTGTCTCTGTTCTCCGAATTGACCAATCGTGAAGAGTCAGAGGTTTGGTCAACCTCTGGTTGGGTCATTTAGGTAACCTGAAAGTGCAAACAAGTCTGGAAAGATTTATATCCTGTGTCCTGGGACCAGATAAGAAAACTTTCCTGTGAGGAATGTGTGAGTTTCACATACAGGGTTGTCTTGATTGCTACACAATCAATATCAATTTATAGGATCCAGAAATGATTTGTAAAGTTTAGAAAACATTCCCCGTGTGGTCCTACTGAGGCAAGTAATTTAGGTAGAGAGTGTGTGAGGAGAGCTGTTCTCCATGGGACAGCTATGCTGGCATGGTTGATCTTAAGTGGATACAGAAGAAAAAAAATAAACCTGGAAGATGAAATTCAGCTTTTAGATCATTCAAAGTTTGTTTACCATGACCATGATACAGTTGAACTATTCTGTCTGCTTGTCTCTGACTATGTACATTTAAGTGTAAGATAACTGCAGCTAATGAAGCTCTAACCCTGTCCTCAAGCAAAGGTGACAAGGTTAGAAGGACACAGGAAATCTATGTTAGTGCCTATGTTGTTCTCTCTCTCTCTCCCTCCCGCTCTCTCCCTCCCTGTGTGTGTGTGTGTGTGTGTGTGTGTGTGTGTGTGTGTGTGTGTGTGTGTGTGTGTGTTTGCAAAGTAATATTTGTCCAAAGTCAGGATGCCGTTTTATGAAGCCTGCAGTGCTGAATCAAGACAAACTTTGATTTGTGTTCACTTCACACTATCTGTTTTCCCTCCAACCCTCTATTTCGCTCATCCACCAATCCCTCTCTCCTCCTCCCCTCGTTCTCTTGGCTTTTTCTTGTAAAACTAACAGATACATGCTGTGTAGACTGCGATGAATGAGTCCCTCACCCTGCTCCACCCATCTCTCTCTCTCTCTCTTTTTCAGTCTCTCTCAATCTTTCAGCTATTGGACTTCTGACAGATCCTGAGAAAGATTGAGAATCTGTATTCTGGCCAGACGGAAAGCTGGGGAGTTTTAAATCTTCTGGGGGTTGACAAGAAAACAAGCCAGAATAATGAAATGTTATGCTGATGCACCAAAATAAGGTCTTATCAATAACAATGACCAAGAACAGCTCATGAAAGAGAGTTTTAAAAGAACACCATTTTTATATGCAGCTTGCCCTGCTCTGTCAGACTGTCATAAATATAGTGCACACCTCATACATGCTTTACATCAGACCCTTTAAACCAAACAGTAAATTTATAATGAAGTACCATATAAATGCAATACAAGCTCTTCTAATCACGGGCTTCACATGGATGCTCAAAAAGTCTTAAACTAGACTTATAAGATTTAAAGCAGCAAATGTCTTGATAATTCCTATTTTCACTGTAAAGAGGTCTAAAGAGACCCTTTTACCGATATATGTCTGAATTAATCAAATCTATACCAATAATTTATGAAACCCTGTTAGTTTGCTGTGAGCTAATTTTCACTTCCCTATCATTGATGGAGAGTGTGATACACTCTTGATATTGAGATAGTATGTCCTTATTGTATGCTGGAAGTAGGCCTATTTATAGGATGCAATGATGTCCGTACATACACTACAGGCCAAAGGTTTGGAAGCAAGATCAGATTTGTACAAAAAAAGATCATAGTTTCATAAATATAATTTGCAACACAATAAACATGACTATTGTGTAAAGAGTATCTTATCAGAAGACATTTTGACGATATTTATTAAGTATTTGAGTTATTGTTGCTTAGACTTTGCCTTCTTTAAAGTAACCTCCTCTGGCTTTAACAATAGCTCGGCATATACCAGGCATTCGTTCCACAAGTTTTTTAAGGTATGTTCCAGGGATTGCATTCCAAGCTTTATATATATATATATATATATATATATATATATATATATATATGTATATAGATACATATAGTATATGATCTGTAGAAATCCGATACCTCCATCAAATGTCACATTTGTCCTGACTCATCAGTTTGGGCTGATATGGTGTCCTCCTCCTCACAGGCCCTTGTGGCAGATGGTCCTTAACCCTGCAGACTGATGCACATCAAAGCATTTAAAGCACTTGCACTTATAGAATTCAAGATACATCTGACATATGCACTCATGGGTCAGGGATGATGTCAGCATCTTGAGTTGGTGGGTCGAGCAAATTTATTGTGTGTTTATTGGTTGTAAAATATTTATCGGCTATAACTCACGAATTTAAACGGTCCATGATACTTTGCCACACCATCTCCCTGGCTTTCACAGTGGCAACAGTGTTGCCCTTCTTTTGAATTTTTCCCTTGTACTCTTCATACAACTCCATGAGGAGCGTTTGCGCCGCCGCTGAGAAAGACTCCACTCTGCCCTTTTTTTCCATGATCTCATCATTTCGACAATCGATACGTCGGGGCTTTTTACGTACCGCGGAGGCTTGGATCAGTTTGGCTAGAATAAGCATTGATGAAAAACAGCTGAACCTCGTTAGTGGAACGAGTTGCAGCTAAGATTAAACTGGCCACTTATTCAAGCCACGCTTACCGGCGATAGAACCAGCCTTCTTTAGCCAGCTTTGTGGAATACCCCCCGGTTCACAATTTTGCTACCTAGGTCTATTTAACAGTACTACAAAATGAAAAGTGTTAAATGGATAATAATGCTTATTACAGGGACCTTAATATAAAGTGTTTTCAAAATATCAGGTAAAACAAACATTTTTATCTTCTCAAATCTGTTGGTTGCTTTTTAGAATGGAGAGAAAAGTTTGATAATGGTAATTATATACAGCTGAGCTGAAGGCTTGGAGAGAGGTGAGAATGCGTCTCACATCATATGTCCAGCATATTTACATTGCTGTATCAACATGAAGGTTTTATTATTATTCTTTGCTTGACCTTTGGGAGAAACTGTTTTCACTTATCTTTTATCTAACTGACTGAAATTTTAAGATGCAGTTCCAAATGACACTACTTACAAAGAAAATTAATATTTACTCTCCTGCATTGCATTATGGGTCTTTAATGTATATTAGTAGCACTTTGGACATTTGGGTCAAATTTGACCCAGGATGATACTGAGTAACACTATTGAGCAGTATGTCCCAATATTGTGATGTCAAGCACAATGAACACACTCAGACACCTACCCAAACACACCCCCACACCCACCTGGCCACCCACCTCTGAGAAGGTTAAAAATCCTGTCAAGAGTCATCCATTTTGACGACAAGGAGACACAAGCAGCTCAGCTTCAAAATGACAAGCTTGCTGCTATAAGAGACATCTGGAATAAGTGGGTGGATGACCTCAGCAAAAGGTATAACCCTGGTGCAGATGTCACCGTTAATGAGCGCCTGGTCCCATTTCAAGGACGCTGTGGCTTCAAGCAATATATTCCGTCGAAGCCAGGAAAATATGGCCTGAAGCTGTAGGTGACATGCGATGCCCACACCAGCTATGCATTGAACATGTAGGTTTACACTGGCAAGAAAGAGGGTGGCCAGCCAGAGAAGAATCAAGGAAAACGGGTGGTCCTGGAGCTTACTCAGGGTTTACAGGGTCCGCACAATAACATGACAATTTTTTCACATCCCATTCTCTTGGCAAAGAGCTCCTCAAGGCAAAGAACTGCATAATTGGCACAGCCTGGAAAAATAAGCTGGAACTTCCCATGGCCCTGATACCAAAGAAAGGGCGAGCTGTAGTGTCCAGCATTTTTGCATTTACTGACACCCACGCCATTGTGTCATACTGCCCCAAGAAAGGCAAAAATGTGATCATCATGAGCACACTGCACCGCAACAATGCAGTTAGTGAACGGCAGGACAGGTAGCCACAGACGATCCTCGACTAAAATAAATGCAACCGGGGAGTGGATAATCCCAACAAGGTAAGCAATGACACATTTGGAATTTTTTTTTTTTTTTTTCTGAAATCAAGGCCAGTCTTTAATTTACAAAATTTGTAAGGTTTGTAACCTCCATGCATGATGTTTTTCAGTAATTAATTGCTTTTACTTTGCAGGTAATAAGCGTATATTCCTGTAAGTGCATGACTGCCCAGTGGCCACTTCTGTTGTTTTTCAACATGGTGGATGTCTCCACTTACAACTCTTTCGTCATCTGGTCAGTGACCAACCCATCATGGAACCCCGGGAATAGCCACAGGAGGCGGATCCACCTGCAGGAGCTGGGGGAGTATGGAAAGCCAAGTGAGTATTTATTCGATAGCCTTGATATCACATGTCAAAAACACACACTAGTTCACTAGTAAGCTGCAAAAACTCTGACATGTTAACTAGTCAGTCATGAATTATGGTTTCTAGTGAACTAGTGAATACAATTGTATGTTACTAGTTTACTAGTAACGACTGAAATGCTCACTAGTTAACTAGTGAAGCCTAACATGCTCACTAGTTAACTAGTTCATCCTTTTTTGGCCTTACTTGTAAACTAGATGGACCCAACTTGTTTACTAGTAAACTAGTGGCTTAAGTTGCATACTAGTTCACTAGTAGACCCATTTGCAGCTGCACTAGTCAACTAGTAGGTTTTACCTTGTATACTTGCTTACTAGCTTAAGGAAAAATATGAACTAGTTAACTAATTACAGAAACAAAAACTTATAATGATGTGTGAGGAGCATGCAATGAGGCTTCCTATTGGCTCCTCAATTCAAAATTAAACAGGACAACCAATGAAAAGTCAGGATTTTATTATTATCCCGCCTGCCACATGTGCACTAGTTGACTAGTGAACATATTGCCTTGGGAAATGCAGCATATGAACTAGAGAGTGCCTCTTGGTGTGTACATGTCAACAAGTAACAGGAACGGTGCTCACTAGTTAACTAGTTGGGGTTTATTGTGACCGTACATGTCAACTAGTGAAGCTTCAAAATTTTGCATGTCAAAATGTCAACTAGTTAGAGCCGCCGTGTCCACTGCTTTTGGCATTTCTGGCTTTACATGTTAACATGTACCTGCAGTTTTTCTTTCTAGTGAACCAGCTGTATCCAGAAAAATGAACAGGTTAACTAGCAGTACTGGTATTTTGCTCACACGCTAACTAGAGCAAAGCCATTTGTATTACTAGTTAACTAGTCATGCAACACAATTTTACTAGGCAAAATGCATGGCAGTCACACTATGTCACTGATTTACTAGTTGAATTAATTTGGCTCCACTAGCTCACTAATGAGCAAATGTGTTTGTCACTGGTAAACTTGTTGCTTTTTTGGGCGTTACTAGTTTATTAGTGAAAGAACATGTCAGTAACTAGAAAAGTTGCATTTCCTTGCAGAAAATGCGTGGAAATGCTGAGTGCTGAAAGCTTAAAAGGCAATGCAAAACTGCTAAAAAAAATGGAGTAAGGTTTAAATGTAAAATTGGTTAAAGAGCTGGAGAAAGAAAAGTAGAAATTAAATTATTGTGAAAATGGAGGATAAATAGTATGAATATGCTCCTCAAATTGAAATTCATGCTGAAAGAGGCTGGTAAAATTTCTACAATTGCACAAAGTTTGAATGAAGAAGTAAATTACCTTAGAAGGCAGATAAGTGAGAAGTGGCATAAGTTTAAGTTGGAGTACTAGAAGTAGTAGATATTAGTAGTCATGTAAGCAGTGGACGCAGTTTTAAAATAGAGGAAGTTGTGTAGGCAGATGTGAAGATACAATTAAAGTCTCCACAAAGCCTGTGTAGGTCTGCACTGTTTTTTTCTTGGTGTTTGGGTTGCAGGGTGTCACACAGAGAGTTGGAGGATGACACACAGAGTGCGTAATTGTGATGGAGACTGGACTGTACTTTTGTCCAACAGCTGCTGGTACACAAGTGTCATGGCAGTGAGAGAGAGAATTGTTTGTATTAATATAAAGTGTGATAAAATAAAGATGAAGAAAAGAGTTGTGTGAAATAGCCAGCAACGCCTATGACTTTAAGTGTCACAACCCTACGGTTAAGGAGCCAGATGCAAACAAGCAAGTTTCTGTCTTTATTGAAGACAAGAAAAGACGCAGCGTACCGCTTACACCGGGTTTCGATCTTCCGATCGTTGCGTGAGAGTCGGCAAGTTTAACGCTCGGCCACACAGAAACTATCGTAACGAGTGTCATCGGCAGTAAATTTAAATTCGCTGTCAGCGCTGTCTCTGCCCACGACTCTAAAGCGAATTGCTGCTGGAGCCCTGCAGAACAAAAGCCCTTGAAAATTACATGGAAAACGTGATTTGGGCTGAATAACTTCATAAGCACAATTTAAAGACCCCAGTGAACACTTTAAATAGTTATGAAAAAAAAAACATCCGAGTGGGACAGGGAGGCATCCACATAACAGTGCACGGGACAAAACACTTGTAATTCCCGAAACAAACGTGTAAAAACCGCCGCAGTCTATTTACTTGATGAGTTTGAGTAAGCGTCGAGGTCCTCAATCCACATCAGTTGGTGGCGCTAATGCATCAATTTATTGTTTGTCAACCACCAAAATAAACCAGTGAAGGAGAAGAGGACACTGCGCATGCAGTCCGCGCAGGGCATTTCATCGTCTGCAGAGGTGAAGTGTGCCACGTATGCAGGAGCTACAGGTGCGTCTGATAATACATTATCAAATGTTTTTACATATTCCCATGTGTTTAGCTATGGTTAAGGTAAGAAAGAGTTATTTTGCTCCAAATTCTGTGAGATATGATATATAGAGGTAGTTTTTTCCAAAATCGCTAACAAGCTGAACTATGTTATCAAACGAAATGCACTGTTTTGTAGGCTTACTATAATGTAACAGTATGCAGAAATGAAAAATGTTCTCAAATAATACATTTCTGTTGCAAAACGATTTATTATTGAACATTTACTTACAAACAATTAAACCCAAGAACAATGACTGTGTGTGTGTGTGTGTGTGTGTGTGTGTGTGTGTGTGTGTGTGTGTGTTAAACTATACAATTACAACTACAAACTATACAATTTCTGAACATAGTAATAAAAAACTGAACAATGTTTAACAAATAGTGTGTGTGCATGCGTGTATGTGTGAATGGTTTTTACTATTTACAGTGTTTATTTTTTCATGGTGAAATTGGTGATGAGTTTCCCCTCAACAGAGGCTTTCACATGAAGTGGGCCCTCACTGATGGCCTCATCAAATGAGGGCCCCCAGGAAGACCTCAAAATCTGGAGGGTCTCTCCACCTTGGAGCAGAACCTCCAAGATGTCGCCAGGAGAGCTGCTGCCGAATGTGGCCCCTCCCTCATCGAGGACACCGACTATTATTATGTCCTGGCTGGTCTGCTGCTTCTGTGGACAAATTAAGCAAACACTGGTAAGGAATGAGATGATTTGTATTAGGCTTTTTTTTTCTGCAACAATCAGTTGTGTCTGATCATCAGCATTGTTTTATTGGTAGTCAAAGATGACAAAAATGCAGTTTTAACCCTCCTTAACCCTTTCCAGACTGATAGATGTTTTTTTTTCATTTGCTCTTGAATTTTTTTCTTTAGGCAGTAACATGTTATGTTTCTTTTTGACATCTTTTACACGCCTCCAGTTCAGACAGGTTCTGTTACAGCAGTAATCAGGTCTGGATATTAATAATGACATTTAACTCCATTTTTTTAAGGAAAAAAAAAGGGGTTGGTGGGGGGGTATCACATTTAATTTGTGATTTGACAAGAGGGGGCAATTACTTTTTCACATAGGGTCAGGTAGGTATGGACAACTTTCTTTGCCTCTTAAATAAACTCATTTGTAAACTGCATTTTATATTTACTCTAGTTATCTTTGACTTAAATATGCAAAAATAAAAGAAATTAGAAAGGGGCAAATGCTTTTTTGTGCTGTATGTGGGCTTTTCTGTCTTTAACATAAGGGTGCGAACAAATTTGTCTGTTTGTGTAAATCTTAATATCATTTGATGATTAATTTAATAGTTATTGAACACAGTTACTTTATTGTGATTGTGTAAGTTACCAGCTGTAGGAGAAAAAATGGAAGTTAAGTTTTTCAAAAAGTGTGTTCACCTTAAAACAATGACAATAACAAATTACCTCAATTTTTGTCCAATTGGTGGAGTTCACCAGGAGCCCGTACTCTGTGCGCTGGGACTTCACATGAGTCACACGGACAGCCTCACCAACAATGAGGGGCTCCAGCGCCATCTCCCTCCACAGGGAGACTTTAATCGAAGATTGATCCTGTAAAACGTAAGGGAACACCTTATTGTCTGGAGTCACAATACATGTGAAACTCAAAAATAGCACAGGCTTTCGTCTCATTTAAATCAGAGGGGCTGAGCAGATGCATGGTGCTAAACTAAGCAATAATGTATGAGAAGAGAAAGATAAGGTAAGATAAGAAGAACTTGATTGATCCCCAAGGGAAAATTTGATATCAAGCTGACTGAGTAACATCTGTGGACATTTTCACTTTGTAGTGTACTTACTTTTGTTGCCAGGGGTGTACACATTAGTGGCTGTGTGTTTAGTTATTTGAGGGGACAGTAAATTTACACTGTTACACAAGCCATACACTGACAACTGTACATGGTATCAAAGTGTCATTTCTTTATTGCTATCCCATGAAAGGATAAACTTCAATATTTGCAGCAAAATGAGGGATGTACTCAGTTTTTTGAGCTAGTGTATATTCATACACAGACATTTTTGTATTTATTATTGCTTTTGTCATTTTCAGGATCTTTGAGTGACTTATATGGCTTTTTCTTTCTTAAACAGAAGGGTACCATCAATTTTCAGCAGCTGCAGTTACCTGCTGCAAGACGAGCTTTCTGAGCGGCACAGCCTCTTTTGGTGACTCCACCTTTCTCACAGCAGACAGCTAAACAAGAAGAAAATCTGTATTTAGCAATGTATATATTTGAGAATGTATTTTTTTTCTTATTTCTGATGTTTTTTATTTTATTTACAAGATTCCCAGATCCATGGTTCTACCACAAAAGCCAATACTAACCTCAATAACCACGCCCTCCACCGACATCAGGCCCTGCTGCTCCCGGCATTGATGGAGTGGGACCAGTGGCGAGGCTGGGTGCAGCAGGGCCTCTGCTCTTGTTTGAAGTTCGGCAGGGTAAGTGATTTTGCTGCCTCTAAAAAATTTTGTCCCGCTCCCAACATTAATAGTGTAAGGTGGGGACTTTCCCATCAGGGTGTGGCCACGCATAAAATATGCCTCCCCCTCTACCACTTTGTCGGCCAAAGATTCAAAAATAACTATCTTCGTGATGGATTGCCCATCACTAATTATTGCCGTTTTATTTTGCTTCACACAGACTGGGCTTGCAGATGACTCCTCAAACGACCAGGACACCACTCTTGGGGTGTCTTCAATTTTTAAGAAGACCACATGCAGGGGTGGTAGCTTGGAGTATGGGGTGGCTGGCTGCGTGTCCAATAGTTTTCTCAGCGCCATTCTGCAACAAAAAAGATAAGCATGTTAAGTATTTCTCTGTCATTTTATTTGTCCGTTTGTCCCCCTCACTCTTTCTCCCCTTCTCTCCCTTCCCTCTCTCTGTCTCTCTGCCTCTCCCCCTTCTCCTACTTCCTCTCCCCCTCCTTTCCTGTCTATCTGTCTATCTGTCTATCTGTCTATCTATCTATCTATCTATCTATGTATCTATCTATCTATCTATTTCTATCTATTTATGTATTTATTTATTTATTTATTTATTTGACAGTTTATGTAATTTCAGGTTTAATGTGCAATGTTACAAATAATACAAATAAAATCATTGAAGGAGAAGTTGCTAAGCAAATTTACATTGCATACAGATTGAATACAGAGTGCCCTGTGTTCCTGGAGAGCACCTATCTTTATAGCGGTGTGGAATCGATTCAGAGAGGGCTGGGTGGTGGGAGGTGTTCATCACTACCATAGATATCTATAAGAAAGGCTAGATGGCTCGAGGCGGGATCCCCGGGTGAGCTGTGCAATCCCTGAACGCGCATAGGCTGTATCAGGTGTCAATCATAGAATACATGAACCCCCTAATAACTTTTAAAAAAAGAGCTTCACAGAAAAAAGAGGACTTGAGCACAAACCAGTCTTACTGTAACTACATGTCAACATCACAAGCAGGGGGGAGAAAAAATTCTGTTCTGTGTAATAAATTTCTAAAGTTTGTCCACAGCTCCATAAGTTTTGCTGGCGGAGTCGGGATTTATGACCTATACTGCAGCCCATCAACAGAGGGTGCTGTTCTTAGAGTGACTTCACCCAGAGAGGAGGCAGACTCTGTCCATTCTATATACAGTCTATGATATTAGTCCAATCAGATTCTAGTCAGTCAGTAAAGTAGTGTGTCTTTGATGTGTTGTCAGCCGTTTTGTAACATCTCTGTCTGCCTGGCAAATATGGAGACCAAAGTAGCAGCTTGGTAACAGCTTTGAAGTCTGCCAACCACAACTAACTTCAAAGGCCAATCATGAGTAAGCTCGTGTCATATTACTTCCATTTAAATGCTGTCAGTCATTTTATCAACCATGCTCACTGCCTGGTGAATGTAGAGGCAACAGATATGGAGGCATAGTAGCAGCCTAGCGACAGCTCTGGAGCTAGCCAATCAGAAGAGAGGTCCCACAAAAAAAGCCAGTCATGAGTAAGCTAGAGTGGAGGCTCAAGGGGACAGTTGCAGACACTTTCAGAGAAAGACCTCTTTATCACAAACTTTTAATGGCAAACTTACATTATTATTAACATGAATTTCCCTAAATAATTCAAAATGGCAATGTTATTCTTTAATTATTTGAGTATCCATACATTCAGCTCTTTATCAAAGAAAGAGCCTGGAACTGAATTTTTAAATCATATATTATACTAAAAATTATTTAAATTATTTATTAAGTGATCAAAATTTTAAATCAAACTTACATTATAATTGACATGAATTTCTCTAAATAATTTGTAATGGCAAAATTATTCTTAAATTACATATGTATCAATACATAAATCTTTATCTATCTATCTATCTATCTATCTATCTATCTATCTATCTATCTATCTATCTATCTATCAAAGACATGTCTTAAACATTAAACAGGTGACAGCTTAAAGGAACTTTAAATATATAAAAATTGAACATTTCTGAATTAAAGGCATCTTTCTTACCCAAATTGATTTACAATGAAAGACTACACCATAGCTAATTTAGTTTTTCTTTTTTTTTGTGATTATTACTATTATTTTTTCACCAAGTCCAGCCTGTTAGCTTAGCAAAGTGATTGTAGCCCCCTCAAGGAAGACTGCTAGACCTCACACAAAAATACGGAGACAACGATAAAAAGAATTGACTGAACTGGAGAAATTAACCTTTCAAAAATATTTTCTGTATTATAGAAAGTGTAGTTTCTAAGCTAATTTAATTTTAAATATGAAATAAAAAGAGACTCACCCTTCTCTGTGCTCTTCTTGCCTCAAAATGGAGCCAAAATATGATACAATTCTTTTATAGGGTGAGTGATGAAAGACACTGGGCTGGGCCATAAACTTTGTTACAATTCATGGGGGGTGGGGGGTGGGGGGGTTGCAGGTGCTGCATGATCAAAGACAACATCAAGGTACCATTTAGTAGCAGCCATAGACTGTATATAAGATGGACAGAGTCTGCCTCCTTGCTGGGTGAATTCACTCCGAGAACAGCACCCTCTGATGGTGGGCTGCTGTACAGGTCATAAATCCCGCCTCCGCCAGCAAAGCTTATGTGACTGGGGACAAACTTTAGAAATTTATTACACAGAACATAAATTTTTCTCCCCCCTGCTTGTGGTGTTGACATGTAGTTATTGTAAGACTTGTTTTTGCCCAAGTCCTCTTTTTTTCTGTACAGCTCCTTTTTAAAAGTTATTAGGGGGTTCATGTTTTTTATGATTGACACCTGGAACAGCCTATGGGTGTTCAGGGATTGCGTAGCTCTCCCGGGGGGATACGCTGTTTGAGCGTCATCACAGGGACTCTCGGCGACTGCGCGGCCGAATGCGCACAACACTACTGCACAGTTCTGGTTTCAAGGAAGTGGAGAAAAACCTGGAATTACCGAGAGCTTTTTGGCTTCAAATCCATATACAGGCAGAAGGCAGAACCAGTGTGTCCATCTTATATACAGTCTATGGTAGCAGCACATTTAACCCACACCCATTTTGCCTTATAGGAAAGTTATGTGCATCACAAAACAGATCAAATGGACCATAAATAACACATTTCGAAACTTTTTTTCTTAACAGCACCCCCGTGTCAACGATCTGAAAAGTTACGAATTTGTCACGTCGGGCATTTACCGATTTTTTTTTTTGTAGTTGGTAGTTGTTATATTAGTAGTAGTAGAAATGGAGGTACTAGCAATAGAGATGTTATTAGTAGTAGTAGTAGTGTAGTTGTGAACCTGAAGGTCTCATAGACAGAAAGAGACCGTGTGTGTGTGTGTGTCTCTCGTTAATCAATGCATTCTAAAGAGCTGTAGGACTAACTGACCAACTGATTTCATGAGAAGTTTCCTAACCCTGAAGGAAACTGAAGCCTCTGCACTTGTTCACACAGTGCAAATTTCTTAAATCCCAGCATGGAAATAAGAACATTTTAGGAGCCCTGAGACCCTCATGAACACAATGATGTGTTTTTCATGTTTGTACTCTGTAAAATGTAGCCACAACAGCAAGTTAAAAAGTGCTGACCTTTAGTGACCCTTTTTAAGGGTTTAGATTAGACTAAGGATAAGTTAGCAGATGTGAAAAACCTTTAATACACCTAAATATCAAAAAATATATGAAAATGGTGAATTGGGAGTTATAAAAAATAAATTCCAAAAATAATTTATAATAATTATTACAATTTGTCAACAGTATAACAACATCAAAGTGACACACAAAAAGTATTAAATGGAACATGAGAAATACTATGCAAAAATAACTCAGCAGTTAACTGTACAGTGTAGTGCAGCAATATTATGCAGAAAAAAGGTTAAAATAATGTGAAGGGTTAGTTAAAGAATGTAAATGCAAAAATGCAGTCATCCAGGGTTGTGGAAATATACAGGAAAGGTAGGATGAAAGGATTACAAAGTATGGCATCATAGTATTTTTGGAGCCAATCGTAGTGAAGTGTGGGCCCTCTCGTATAAAACAAATAAATAAAAAAATAAACAAGAAATGAAATTAAAGTTCATAAAATAATTTGGTTGACAAACAGATTTGAGAACTTGAAATGAATTGATGTAATGTATTGGTCCACCTTACCACCAAAAGGCTTTTCACAGAGTAGTTGGACCAAGGCTAATACTGTCACCAGCTCATTGTAGCGGACTGACAATCTGGTCAGCATTTTAGTTTCCAGTGTTTTCTTATCCAAACATTCAGACTACTTGGTCTTACTGAAATGCTGGGTTGTCCTCACATTGACATTGTGACGACAACCCACAGCAGGGATTGTTTCACACTGAAATGCTGAGATCACTGCTGTCCAAAACATTAGCCCAAGACTAAGCACATGTGAAAAACCTTCAGTGTACCTACCAGCTGAAACCCAAAGTACATAATTTTTTTCTAAAAACATGCCCTCTCTTGGGAGGTAAATTTGAGGGCTATGGCGAGCATATTAAAACATGAGAAATTCAGCTGCCTGCAACAACTGAAGTAACTGGTATTTTTTTTCCTTCATCAGCGTCAGCCGTCTTTTGATATGAGGACAGATACACCGCAAAAGGGAAAGAAAACACACTTTAAAAAAAAACAAAAAACATTTTAAATAAAGTCAAAGAAACACAAAGGAAACATAAAATATTAACAGATACAACTGATCACACAATGTAGAAAACACGTTTCAAAACAATATAAGTAGTTGTCCTGTCCTGAAGACAGTTTGTCGGTTCCTCACTGAGTACTGTGTTCTGTTGGGCACTTTTGTTCAAAACCAAAAGCAGAGCCCAGTTCAGTTCAGAGTGAAGTTTTAAAGCGAGGTAAGGTTTTGACTTTTGACCTGTGGGTGTAGACTTGCTGTGTGCAGTTATCAGTGTTTGAGTTGACAGCATCACTGGAGTCAGAGGCAGGAGGAGGTGAGGCCTGAAAAAAACAAACAAAATCCCCTTCCCTTTAACTTTTAATCAATACAAAAATCCTGTTCTAACAGTAATACTGTGCTTTTGTTTGTTGGTCAAACATGATTATTGTTATGGGGCAAGGAAATACACTGTTACCTCAGGGAAATTTTAAAGCTGCAGTGAAGAAGAACTGATGATCTAAATGTGATGACATCTGCTGTAGCTGGCATTACAGGACTGCAGGACTGGTAGGATCACCATCAGTAGGACTCTGCTGAGCTGCACTGGCTTCATCGTGGATGCAAAGACAGTGACTTGAAGTAGGAGAATGTAGCTGGTTCAAAACAGGAAATAAACAAACATTTTTGTTGATAATCTATGAAATTTAATATGTACAATAAGTACACACACAATTGCAATGAATACCTTAAGTACTGCGGCAGAGCAAAATATTTCTGTCCAGAGCCACTTCACCAGGCCTGCATGCAGCACAGTTTCCTCACACAGAGAGGCTCAAGGATTAGGGTGGCTGCATGATGTCCACCTTTAGTGCGTTCAGCTGTCTGAGTGTATGAGCTGTTCTTCCTGTCTTAACTGGCTGAGAGGGCCTGAGAGAAAACACTGCTGTTAAAGACAAAGATATCAGCAGAGCTGTACAATGAAGTCACAAGCAATAATACAGCAGCTAAGATTACTAAAAGTAAATAAAGATCACAAGTTCACTAAGACATTACCTCAGGTTTTGTTTAGGAGGGGCATATATCTTTGAGGTTCAGCAGGGAAGAGTGACAGGTACCACAGCATCAGTTCTGCTCAAGCCTGGTGTATGGTGGTCATTGAGAGCTGCTACAAGACATCTGGAGCAATAGCAGGTAAAACACACGTTTGTGTTGTCCATGAGAGAAGGGTCCTGGTGGGTGCTGCAGTCTCTGTTCTGTTCAAGCACTGTGTGTGGTGGTTGTTGAGAGCAGCAGAGAGACGATGTAGAGGATGTCATTTCTTCTTCACCTCTGACTAACAGCTGCGATAAACAGCTGGTAAACTATGTCTTTGAAGTGTCCGAAGTGATGTGTTTGCTTTTGGTTGACAGTTTGATCATTTTTTCTTCTGCTCACAGTGAGCTAGTCAAGACAGTGATAATGGAGGTTGGGTCAAAGATGGAAGATACAACAGAAAAAAAATTTAACAAAAACATATCCAAACAAAAGGAAACTTGGGTTTGCTCTAGTGCGCTACCCACCCACACTAAGAGAAAAGTGTGAAGTTGGGTGGGGGAAAGGGGGAGATCCAGCTGGTAAGTAACCAAAAGGTATCAGAACATCAGTGGTTTCTTTTATTGTTTAGCCAAATCATTAAAGTCTCTTAACATGGTGGTTAGACTAAGGCTAACACCCCATTACTTACTGGATTTAAACTCCAGCAGCCCTGGACTCACATTCACCCCTTTTCTTGTGTTTTCAAATGACTAAGCCTTGTAAAGGTTGGCCTGTAAAATTTGTCATTGCCATTAAGCCAAGTCCTGTGTTGTGGGCTTTAAAAACAGTCTGATACAGGACTGTTATGCATGCTTTTAAGGGTTTAGATTAGCCTAAGACTAAGTTTGCACATCTGAAAAACCTTTATTATACCTATACATTAAAAAAATATATGAAAATGGTGACTTGAGAGTTATAAAAAAAATAGTTACTAAAATCGGTCAGCAGTATAACAACATAAATGTGAAACACAACATGTATAGAATAAATGTAAAATAATGTGAAGGGTAAGGTAAAGAATGCAAATGCAAATAATGCAAAGTTATCCAGGCTTGTGGAAATATACAGGCAAAGTAAGGTGAAAGGCTTATTAATTAAATATGGCATTTTAGTATTTTTTAAAGCTAACTGCAGTGAAATGTGGGCCCTCTCATGTAGAAAAAAAAGAAAATTATAGAATAATAAATAATTATAATAATAATAAATAAAATTAAATGATATGAAACTGAAACTTTAAACAAAATCTAAAATGATCATATTAAAAAGTAGATTTGAGACCTTGAAATAAATTGATGTAATGTATTGGTCCACTTTACCACCAAAAGGCTTTTCACAGTAGACCAAGGCTAATACTGTCATCAGCTCATTGCAGTGGACTGACAATCTGGTCAGCAAAAATAACTCAGCAGTATACTGTACAGTGTAGTACAGAAGTCTTTTACAGAAATTAAAATATATATTTTTTAATTAAATATAAATTTAAAATTTAAAATAATGTGGAGGGCAAGGTAAAAAATGCAAATGCAAAAGGTGCAAAGTCATCCAGGCTTGCGGAAATATACAGGCAAAGTAAGATGAAAGGTTAATAACTTAAATATGGCACTATGTTATTTTTTATAGCATGTATTGGTCCACCTTACCACCCAAAAGGCTTTTCACAGTAGTTAGACCAAGGCTAATACTGTCATCAGCTCATTGTAGTGGACTGACATTCTGGTCAGCATTTTAGATCCCAGTGTTTTCTTATCCAAACATTCACACTTCTTGTCGTACGATGACACGATGATAGTTTCTTTTTAAAAAGTTTTCTACTATGGAGAATTACATTTTAAGGATAAGCATAAAAACTTTGTTCCTCTATGAAATCCCTTCACACAGCTCGTTTAACCAAGCCCTGTGTTTGAGGATTGTGACGACAACCTTCACTGCTGTCCAAAACATTAGCCCAAGACTAAGCACACGTGAAAAACCTGCAGTGTACCTACCAGCTGAAACCCAAAGTACATCATTAATTTCTAAAACACGTCTTCTCTTGTAGGTAAATTTGAGGGCTATGGTGAGCATATTAAAACAAGAAATTCAGCTGCCTGCAACAACTGAAGTAACTGGTATTATTTCCCTTCATCAGTGTTGGTCATCTTTTGATATAAGGACAGATACACAGTAAAAGGGAAAAAAAATACTAAAATAAAATAGAACAAATAAAGTCCAAGAAACATAAAGGAAACTTAAAATATAAACAGATATCGACAACCGATCACTTAATGTAGAAAACAGGATTCAAAACAATATAAGAGTAATAGTTGTCCTGTCCTGAAGACAATCAGTCAGTTCCTCAAGTGAGTACTGTGTTCTGTCTGGGCACTTTTTTTCAAAACCAAAAGCAGAGCCCGGTAAAGTTCAGAGTGAAGGTTTTGAGTGAGGTAATGTTTTGACCTTTGACCTGTGGTTGTAGAATCGCTGTGTGCAGTTATCGGTGTTCGAGTTGACAGAATCACTGGAGTCAGGGAAAGTTTAAAGCTACAGTAAAGATGAACTGATGATCTGAATGTGATGACATCTGCTGCAGCTTGCTTCACAGGACTGCAGGACTTGTAGGATCACTATTAGGCAGCTGCACTTGCTACACCGTGGATGAACAGACAGTGACTTGAAGTAGGAGAATGTAGCTGGTTCAAAACAGGAAATAAACAGAAACATTTGTGTTGATAATCTGTGAAACTAAACATGTTGAATAAATACACACATCATTACAATGAATACCTTCAGCACTGCAGCAGAGCAAAAAATATTTCTGTCCAGAGCCACTTCACCAGGTAAGCAGCAGCAAAGCTTCCTCACACAGAGAGGCTCAAGGCTCAGGGTGGCTGCATGATGTCCACCTTTGGTGAGTTCAGCTGCCTGAGTGTCTAAGCTGTTCTTCCTCTCTTAACTGGCTTGAAGAAGACCTGGGAGAAAACACTGCTGTTAAAGACGATATCAGCAGAGCTGTACAATAGCATCACAAGCATTAATACAGCAGCTAAGATTACTAAGAAAAAATAAATGAACACAAGTTCACTAAGACATTACCTCAGACTTTCTTGAAGAGGGGTTTATCTCTTGGAGGTTCAGCAGGGACAAGCCCAGTGAGTGACAGGTACTACAGCATCAGTTCTGCTTCAGCCTGGTGTCTGGTGGTCCTTGAGAGCTGCTACAGGACATCTGGAGCACGAGCAGGTAAAACACATGTTTGTGTAGTCCATGAGAGAAGGGCCCTGGTGGGTGCTGCAGTCTGTCCAGCACAGCGATGATGGTTGTTGAGAGCAGCAGGGGGATGGTGTGGAGGATGTCATCTCTTCTTCACCTCCGACCAAAGACTGGGTTAAACAGCAGGTAGACTGTGTCTTTGAGTTGTCCAAAGTGATGTGTTTACTTCTGGTTGACGGTTTGATAATTTTTTTCTGCTCACAGTGAGCTAGTCAGGACAGCACTAATGGTCAGGTCAAAGATGGCAGAGACAACTGAAGAAGAAAAAAAAAATACCCAAACAAAAGGAAACTTAGCTTTACTGTACTGTACCTACAGGTGATGTGTTTACTTTTGGTTGACAGTTTGATATTTTTTTCAGTTTAGATTGAGCTAGTTTGGACATCACTAATGGAGGTCAGGCCAAAGATGTAGGATACAACTGAAAAAATAAAATAAAATGAAACAAAACATACCAAAGAAAAGGAATCTTATGTTTGCCCTAGTGTACTTACAGCCACCCATGCTAAGAGAGTAGTGTAAAGTTGGGTGGAGAAAAAGGGGGGTTTCAGCTGGTAGGTAACAGAACATCAGAAAGTGTGTGTTCATTAGGGAACACACACTTTCTGATGGAGGTTTTTAATTTTAGCTGCTGTATACAGTATTGTACACAGCAGCTGAGAGTTTTGGCCTGTGCATTTATCAATCCGCACCCACCCTCCCTATGTCCAGTCAAGTCAAGTTAAATGGATTAACTTGACTTGACTGGACTTGATAAATGCACAGGCCAAAAAATAAGATTTATTACATTTGAATAGTTAAAAATTGTACTACCTGAAAATGTTGAAATTAAGCCATAAAAATATTTTTTGCACCAGAAAATTTTACATACACCAAACACATTTCAATTTCTAATAAAAATATGAGCAGAACATTAGCCACAACTTCTCTGGTTTGTCTTTTCCTTCAGAGCAGTTTCCTCTATGACCTGTTGGATGAAATGACACAGTAAGTGGCGTTGTGGTAACTGTAGTACGTCTGCATGATACCTGAGGAGAGACATAGCTGAGGTCGTGAGATGAAGATCAGGTCCAGCAGTGTGTTCTTGTCCGTTGTAGCAGCAGTGATCAGTTGACCATATCCCTTTGACTGAAAGAAATCCAAAATTGGCTTACTTGCATTAGAAAAGAGATTCTCATTGAAGTCGCCACAGACGATGATGGGATGACAGTCCATGATCTCAAGTGAGTCCAGAAGGCTTCCCAGATTGGACAGGAATGATGGCACACTGTAGTCTGGAGGTCTGTACACAGCTGCAATCAGAGCACTTACAGGAGATTCAACCTTCAAAGCCACAAACTCAAGGTCAGTCACATTATTCAGGTACTGTTTCTCCACAACCTGCAAATGGTTTTTCACATAAACAGCGACTCCACCACCTCCTTTACTGGCCATCTGTGGAAAGTTAGTGTAGGACAAATGTCTGTTGCGTTTGAACATGGTGTAGCCCTCAAACTGGAGACTGTCTGCCACAAAGGAGCCCTGTAGGTGAGTTTCTGTCAGACACAAAACATCTGCAAGACACAGTTCATGATGGCTTTTGATGTCATTCACATGAGCAGGTAATCCTTCGGTGTTGTGATGAATGATGCTCACAGTGTCCTGTCTGCTGAGAGAATGCTGGATCTGGAGAAAAGGCATGAGGTGATCAAAGTTAGCTTGCGTCATGGTCTCCAAAGATACAGTGACTGCAGGGTTAGCATGGATTTTACTCTCATCCAAATCAAGCATGTACAGTCCGCTGAGAGAGGTCACTCGACTGATAGCTACGTAGGCCATGCCGGGCTCAAAAATGTGCTTCAGAGAGACAACAGTTGATTTTCTGGTCATACCTTGAACCTTGTGTATCGTGCATGCAAAGGCAAGTTTCACAGGAAACTGTCTGCGTACCACTCCTTTCTGTTGCAGAGCCTCCTCAGATCTCTCGATGTACACAAGATTGTCTCCTCTAGTACGATAGCTCCTGCCAGCTGTTTCATCATCCATCCTGAGACCAAGCATAGTGACAAGAGCAGAACCGTTGTTTTCAGAGCTTATGAGACGGCCTACTGTAGCAAATGATCCGTTCACCAATCCTTGAGACACATCAATGTTTCTGGTAAGCATGACTCTAGCGCCTACTGCAACATCTAGTGTGTCAGGTAGATCATTTCTGCTTCCATGACATGGTGCACCTTGTCTTTTCATGTGTCCAGTGTGTGGGTCCTTTTTAAAGTCATCTGCATCAATGGTGGTGATATCAGAATGGAGCAGAGATAGTGTAGCAGAGTTGTGTTCTGCGACTTGTTTGTTTGTAGCAAAAATGTGCAGCACATCAGAGGGACACAGTTGTGGTTCAGTGACACGCTGTGACAGCAGAGCTCTGTCAGCTTCAGAAAGCTCATCTGACCTTGTTTTCACACGGAGTCTGTTCAGCATCTCGGCAAAAGTTTTGTCATCCTTCTGTCGCATGATCTCATCTAAAGTGATCACCTGGAAGTTGTCTCTCCAGAGGTCAAGTTCACTTGGATCATAGACACAGAGTGGTTTGGACTGTCGCACAGGCGGTAGCTGGTAAAAGTCTCCCACAGCAATGACTGACATTCCTCCAAAGGGTCTGTGGCTGCCTTTAATCTGTTTCAGTCTCATGTCCACATAGGCAAACAGAGGCTTCGACACCATGGAGATTTCATCAATGATGATGATTTCAGCATTTAAAAGCTCACACCTGATTTCATCAAGTTGGTTCCCAAGACCTTGAAAAGGAGGTTTCAGGCTTCTGGGCAGCTTGAGAAGAGAGTGCAGTGTTGTTCCAGAGATGTTAAAGGCTGCAGTTCCAGTGAAAGCAGTCAACAGCACAGTTGGGTTTGAGATGTCAGCTTCCTCAGCACGTCTAGGTAGTGTTCTCAGAATCTTTGATGCTTCTGAATGAATGCATTTAATGAGATGTGACTTTCCAGTGCCAGCACCACCATTGATGTAGTAGAAAAACTGCTCTGGTTGTGGTCCACAGACTCGTTTTATGCACCAGTCTCTCACTGCATAGAACACACATGCCTGTTTCTGGTTCAGACTCTGATACATTTGTCGTAACCGTGTGGGATCGATTGTAGGGGGCTCTCTCATGACTCTGGCCTCTGTAGCAGCATTTGCTTGTCTACTGTAATCAGGTACATCCTCTTGGACATTTTCACACTGCCTGGCATCCAGTTCATCGATACACTCCAACCTCACCAGTTCAGATTCAGGTGCCAAATTACACCATTCATCGACCACACCTCTGTTCTGTTCAAAGTCCTCGAGAGCAGAGTCAATTTCCTCACTGTTTTTTTCATATCTCTCTCTGTTTCTTTTCACGATGAGTTTCACACTCAGGGGTCGGTCAGAATACGGCAGCTGAACCACACCTCTCTCATAGAATGACTCATATGTGGGAAAATATGGTCTTTTTAGCTCATCGTCTGATCTGTATGGAAGATACAGTCTAAGCAATGTGCCGTAAAACTGCTCAGGGTATTTCTCTTTCGATATACGGCGATACCTGATGACAGCAGCGTTGTCATTTTCTCGTCTCTGTATAAAGCCAAGTTCATTCAGCAAAGGTACCACTTTCTTGCCCTTGGTCTGTTTACCATACACCAGTCTGCAGGTAGAAGCAAAATCAGCCATGCACATCTCTTCAAACTCTGGTGATTCAGGTCTGGATTTGTACTTGTCTGTTAAGGATGTCATCCACACATTCAAGCTGTCTGGTGTTGTGTTCTCAAGGCTTGACACAGGCAGACTCATTTTCACTGGGTTGTCATCAGTTGGGACAAAAACCACACTGCGTGAACTCTTTTTCATGTTCAGTGAAGTCACTCGGGCAACAGCTTCTTGTGCTGATACTTCTCGCTTTTTGGAATACGCCTGCATGACCGCTTTCATTTCATCACATTCATTGACATATTCTCTGTCGGAGTTCTGAATGAGTGTTTGCAGGTACTGGCTCACAGAGTTCTCACTTTTACACATGTACGTACATATGTAATGGATCAGACTGTAGTAACTGAGAATAAACTGCACATCAATGTTTGCATCCCAAGCTTTGAGCAGGTGAGGGTTGTAGGTGTTTACCCAGCAGTCTTTTGGCTCACGCTTCAGAATGATGTTGCTGGACCGACTCATCACATTCATGTGTTTCTCATACTCATCAGCGGTTAAGTCACAGACAGACAGGAGCTGTTGAAAACTCATGGATTCAGTTTGTGTCTCGTTCAGCAGCTGATTCAGCGGTGCAAGTTTCTCTTTGGCTCTCTTAAGTCTCTCTGACTCCTCATCATCACCCACAGGTCTTGTTATCATTGTCTGTCTGGAGGGTGGTTTTGGGAATCCAAATCGGCATCCAGAACTTGCACTTTTGAAACATGTCTTTGAGTGGTTCTTACTGTGTATTTGCACTTCTTTGACCTTTTTGTACAGTTCAGGCTGTTTATTTGGGTCAGGGAGCTGAGCAGAGATGTGTTTGGACACAAAGTCACACACAATTTTGTCAGAGTCTCTCTCAAACACAGGTGCACCTTCTACCCACAAAAGACCATGAATGTGAGGACTTCCTCTGTGTTGAAACTCGAGGCGCCAAAAGAAGTCAAAAACTTTGCCCAGGGGTTGTGCAGGAGACATGATCAGATCTCTGTACAGTGCTTCAACACGCTTATCAAACATGCGCATCGTTGTCACAGGATTGCTTCTCAGAGTGTCACACTTTGTGGACCAGTCGAGCTCCTCAAAATTCACTTCCTCACCTTGTTGTGATTTTATGGCAATAATCACCTCAGGCCAACGCATTTCTGCTGCAGAAAATGTGACAAAGAACGTAGGACTGCCCAACTGTCTGATCATAGCAAACAGATCTTTTGTAGTTTTGTCCCAGTAGGCTGGTGTTCCTCTGAGCGGCTGCATAAATCTGATAGCATCTCTGTTTCTCACCAGTCTCTCCACTTCATATTTGTCTCTCAACATTCTGGATGTTATTTTACGTCCGTCTCTGGTAAAAGGTTTGCCTTTGCGTAACTGTATGGACATGCTGGAGGTAGCCAAGTGTATCTCAGTCACAAACTGTGCGAAGAAAAGGTAGTTGGTATCTCTGGCAAAGCGATCATCAACACCAAAGAGCCTTGCTTTAAAATAACTACTGGGTGATAGTTTCATGGGTCTGTTTTCATCCAGTGTATTCTCACCAGTGGGAAACTGAACAGGAAACGCCATGGCCTCTAGTTTGGGAGTTTTGAAAAAACTGACTGGACTGTTTCTCTCTGCTGGAGCTACTGAGTATGTCGAGTCACTGAAACACAATATCTCCTCAGAAACATCACGTGGCTGAAGGCACGACTCCAAAACAACACCACCATTGTGCATGTCTGCATCCTGTTGTTGTGTCTGATCATCATTGTCCTGGGTCTGACTTTTATCACACAGCTCTGTGTTCTCATTCTCATTTTCAACATTAGTTTCAGCCTCATACATGGCAGCAGCCTCAATTCTATCAATTTCCATCAAATCCTCATCATCATAGTCGTCATCATTCATTGTAATATCATTACCATCATCATCATCCTCATCCTCATCACCATCATCAGGAAGTGTGGGGTCACATAACTCCTCCTCATCTCTAATAGTGATGTTTTCATACTGGGGGTGTATCTCTTTCAGCTTATGCAGGGCCTGCACTAGCTTGGACCAGGTAACAGTCTGAAACAGATGGTGACCTCTGTAACTCAAACGTCTCTTCAGTTTTACTCTCATCACCTGAGACTCATTTCTCAATCTTGGTAGAGCCTGAATTGTCTCCTGGACTTCAGAGGGAACACATACAACATTGCCATGTATAGCTCTCTGTCTGCCTTTGGGAAGAGGAATGATTTTGGCAAATGTTATGCACTTTGCTATTAGATGTCTCTCCAGTATGTTGAGGTCACACAGCTCAGGTGGTATGTCAGCAAGCTCCAAGTTGTTTGCTATGGCAAGTTTGGGCATGGATCCATTTTTCAGATGGTCATGGCAGGTGTGACAAATCCACTCAGTCTTTCTCTCATCAGGGACAGTGCACTGGTTTCTGCAGCCATCATTGCACTCATGGACGTACTGACCTTTGAGACAAGCTGAAACCAAGACTGGATTTTTCACATAGTTGGATCTCTTGCACTTTTGCACCTGGTTTGGAAATGAGGCTTTGTGACAAACTGTGCAAACATGGGTGGGACCAGCTTTAATGTGTGATCGGAAATCATTGATGGCACTTTCAATAAGTGGGTTTTCACTCTCTCTGTCAGTCTCACATGTTTGTTTACCTATCCGTTTGTATTTCTTTGATATTTTCAATGCACACCTCATTTTATGCACAGTCCTGTATGCAAGATTTGTCTTGTACCTGTCTCGCATCATTTGTCTCATTAGCTGTCTGTGTCTGTGACAGAATGTTTCATCGTTTGCATATCGATGGTTGAAGTAGGATCGCTGTCTTTCCCGGAAATTTATGTCCTTTGAGTATCTCCTTGTAATGTATTGTTTTTGTCTGGCTTTAAAATCAACATTTTCTTTGTAATTTTTGATGATATATTGTTTTTGTCTGGCTTTAAAATCAACATTTTCTTTGTAATTTTTGATGATATATTGTTTTTGTCTGGCTTTAAAATCAACATTTTCTTTGTAATTTTTGGTGATATATTGTTTTTGTCTGGCTTTAAAATCAACATTTTCTTTGTAATTTTTGGTGATATATTGTTTTTGTCTGGCTTTAAAATCAACATTTTCTTTGTAATTTTTGGTGATATATTGTTTTTGTCTGGCTTTAAAATCAACATTTTCTTTGTAATTTTTGATGATATATTGCTTTTGTCTGGCTTTAAAATCAACATTTTCTTTGTAATTTTTGGTGATATATTGTTTTTGTCTGGCTTTGAAATCAACATTTTCTTTGTAATTTTTGGTGATATATTGTTTTTGTCTGGCTTTAAAATCAACATTTTCACTGTATTTCTTTCTGATATATTCTTTTTGTCTGTCTTTAAATTCCACATTTTCTTTGTATTTTTTGGTGATATATTCTTTTCGCTTTAGTCTGAAGTCTGAGCTTTCCCTGTATATTTTTGTGAGCTTTTGCCTTTTCTTTGTCTGTATTTTAGGATTTTCAGAATATTTCTTACTTGAGTAAGACCTTTTCTTTGCTTTATAAGTTTCATCCTTAGCATACTTTTCTCTCTCTTTTATTTTTTTATCCTTTTTCCAATGTGATGTCTTTTCAGATGCCACTTGTCTTCTGTTATATTTTTTATTTTGTTGTTTGTTCCTTTTTGACAGTTTAGTGGCGATGTCATGGAGGAGATTGTCACTGGCAACAGGGATGTTTATCAATGGTTGAGACAAATTTGAATGCGTCTCCTGAGGTTCCTCTGATGTGACAGATTTCTTGCTGATTTGACCTGGTTGATGAGCTTGAGTTTCCATCAGGGTTGAGAGGTCATGACAGTCATCACTTACAGTAGTGTTCATCTCTGGAGTGAGAGATTCAGGACCAGTTAATGTGACAGAACACTGGCTGAAGTCAATCAGTGGTTCTGGTTCAGTTTCCATGTCATGTTCAGTGTTTTCACGGACATCAGTGTTCATCTGTGGAGCACTTGTGTCATCATCTATCACGGTGGTTTTGACAGAGGGACTTGTGGACGGACTTTCTGTGGCTGGGAAAGCATCACTTAGGTTCTCATCATAAAACACAACTGGCTTGAGCTCATAGCGACAGGACGCTGCTGTGTCCAATATGTGGTGATACCTTATGAGCCTTTCAATCATGTCACTGAGGCGTGTGAATGTTACCATGACAGCGGTACCGGGAGTAGGTGTGGCCTGAAGCAGAGGCAAACCGTTAGCTGTCCGAGCATGTGGGTCAAAGAAACCGTACCTGCCATCTCTGGTTCTGAAAACTGCAATGCACAACGAAGTCATTAGCAGCAAAGCGTACTGCACATCTGTTAATAAGCAGCTCAGTCCTGAAACGAGGTCCAGAAAGGTATCAACAGCTCCGGGATCCGGATCTCCAAACGTACCGTATCTAGACAGCTGTGTCATGTCAACAGTCTGCGTGTGTCTGCGTGCAGGAACCTCTTTAGGGAGCTCATCGGTTGTCAGATGGGCGTGATCAACAGTTTTTCTGACTTCTCTGTACATCACATCACCTTTATCCAAAACACGGTCCAGGTCTGCTCTGGTGATGTGTTCGCTCTCATACAGGAATGCTAGAAATGTCAGTGAGTTACAGGTGCACTGCTGGTTTCTGGATCGGCCGTATTTCAGAGATGCTTGGCTGCGTGATGCACAGACGTTTTGTTCACCTGACTGATTAACAGCGTTAATATTTCTTGCCCGAGGAGAGGCTGATACAGACTGATAATTACTGTGGTTTCCCTTAACAGTGTCTGGATACGATACCTGGGTTGAGCATGGCTTGTCAGTTTGGGCTACATAGTTTACCTGACGAGAGTTGGACGGACCGGCAGTACATGACACTCTGGGAAGTTTTCTCTTTACCATGTTTGCATATGTTACCTGTTGTACACCTGGATCATTACTTTCACCTCTGTGGTAAACCTGTTCAGAGTTCGACGGGCCTGCAGCAGGTGACTCACTTACACGTCTCCTCTTCAGCATGTCTGCATTAGATACCTGTGGTTGGTTTGACGCACCTTCACCTCCCTGTTTCACAGCATCAGACACTTCAGACATCTTTACCTCTCCACTGCTCTGAGGAACACCATCTGCTTGTCCAGTACTCACACAGTCAATGTCATGTAACCTCTGCCAGCGCTGGCTTGCAGACTGTGACCTCTTACTCTTTCTCGTCATTGTGGCTGTCCTTTCACAACACTGTGTTTATGCAACAATTTAAAGTTACTGATAAGCAGTAGTATAGACAAAAATGCTTTATTTCTTAAAGAGAGGACGTTATTTCACACCTCTTATAGCCTCCAAAAAATAAAATTTATAACTGTTTGTATACCACAATAGTTTATCAAATGTTTTATAAGAAAATCCTAGGCAAGACTATATAAATGTTTTCAGAAAAACACAAATCAACAACAATTTCTAAATCTTAGGACTTTGTACTTGAAATAATATCTAACTCAAATATTCTATATGAAACGTGTTTTTTCTTCCTCTTTCAAAACCAGGGATGCAGATGTGGTGGTGCTGATGACACTTCTTCTGGTGAAACTCTGGATCCACAGACAGGAAAGGAAAACCTAGAACAACAGTCAGACTTTTGCAAAATTAGGGTTTTTTCAAAACAGTGGTTGTATTAAATGTACAGCTTTTCAAAAGTTTGGTTTCTCAAAAAAAGGTTGATTTTATAAAAAGGTTTCTCAAAAAAGTTTTATTTGTTAAAATAGGTCTCAATGATTTGTTACAATAGGCCTCAATGATTTGTTACAATAGGTCTCAATGATTTGTTACAATAGGCCTCAATGATTTGTTACAATAGGTCTCAATGATTTGTTACAATAGGCCTCAATGATTTGTTTCAATGGTATCAAAGACTTGTTTCAATGGTATCAAAGATTTATTCAAGGATTGTATTAGTAGCCAGAGTGGGATAGACGGGGGATACAAAGACAGAGGGACTTTTCAATCAGACAGAGTGGTAGAGGAGACAGGAAAGACAGAGCGACCAAAATGATAGGGGAGAGTTGGGAGACTGGACAGGATACCTGTAAGACACAATGGAAACAGACATTAATCTTTTTTTATTAAAAAAATAAAATAAAATGAACCAACATCCACCCAAAGCTAAATTATAATGTGCTTTTACTCAACCCACCAAGTGGCTGTCCTCAACTACACATCTATCAAAAGTCAAGTTGAGTCAAAAGCTGGAAGTGATCATTGTCTTGTTTGATAGCCCTTCAATCAAATTAATAAGGACTAAAAATCCAAAGTGCTCATAAGAGTTAATCAAAAATGTATTTAACATACGAAGAACTTTATTTATCCTCCAAGGGAAATTCAATTGTCTATAGTCTTATTTGTCATGTCTCAAAAAATCATCTACTTTTTAAATTGTAAAGTCTGATGGCTGTGGGTACAAAAGATCTTCTGAATCTTTCTGTCCTGCAGCGAAGAGAGAGAGGAGCCGTCCACCACCATTGGCCCTTTGGTCCATCAAGGTGTTATGAAGTGGGTGAACCATGTTCTTTAGAAAAGCCTCCACCTTCCTCATTGTAGATCTCTCCACGACATCCTCCACTGAGTCCAACTTGAATCCAACCACACAGCCAACTTTTTAAATTTAGGACTTCAAAGTATTTTACAAAAAGATTGATTATTCCTGTGTATTTTAGACTCTTTATTTTAAGTTCCCTTTATAATGTTCATAACCATGTCCTGGTAAGCAATAATAACAATGGATTACTCTGCTGATAAAATATTATGTGTTTCGGAGAATGTAATTTCCTTTACTGTGTTTTAAGTATTTCTACAATGTAATAAGTTGTAATGAGGCCAAGCAGCTCCATGAGCTGTAAACAGAAGCATGCAAGGTACCTTAGAAGGAGATACACATTTCTAAACGTAGGATTAAATGAATAATAAAATAAATCAATGGTGGCATAGATAATGATTGTGTATTCCATATTAAGGAACATCAAATTAGCTTGTTTTTTTTTATTTTATATATATATAAGAGATGCACAAAGGAGGGACTCACATTCAATTAGTAATTATTTGGATTTTCATCATTAAAAAACTACAACTCCACAATTAAATGGTAATACATTGCTTTCCAATGATTGGAAATGAAATGCAAAAAAGTGTATTGAATATCACATTCAAGCTGTTCATTTTCAACTATGAGTATTACATAATCAAAGGGAAAAAATCGTCAAGTTAGTACATGATGAGGGGTCCAAAATGTGTTGAATAAAGGCACACTGTTATTCATGAAAATGTCATTCCTGTGTGAACTTACGTCGAGTCGCCACAAAGCAGTCTGCACTTGGAGACAGGATAGAGTTGGCAAGAAGAAAACTGGAAAAACAGAGACAAGAGATTTTTAGTTTAGTTGTACAAAACCAGCATATCTCACTGCATTGTAGTTCCAACTGTAATCAGCCAGCAAAATTATTTCCATTTGATTCTGCATTAGTTAAAATAAAGTGTTATTTAAAATGGTTTGTGTTACAATGAAAATGTGCTGCAGTTTCTCAAATAAGGACGTAATGTCAGGTTTTTACATGATGTGTTGTAAAAAGTAACAGTGTAAATATTTTTAAGTTACTTTATTTGTGAACTTACAGCTGAGTTGCCAACAGTGAACAGGGCCCGCAGCAGAGATAGCGTTTAGGAGTTCAGAAGGAGGGAAAAGACAGAGGGACAAAAAATTAAAATTTAGTTGCAAAAAAAAAAAAAAAAAAAAAAAAACTGTATCCCATCTATATTTCTCATATGGTATATGCAACGGTGTTACACATAGATCAACATTTCACATCACTTTTTGAAAAATGCATCATATGTTGTACATTATCTTGAATATCAAGTTGTTTAACAGGATTAAACTTAACATTAATGCAATTATTTTTATTTTGACTTTTGTTAGTCTTGGTTAAAACACTAATACTTACCAACAAATGCACTGGAGCGGGTGTATCTTCTGTTTGATTGAGACAAGAAACAATACATTAGTCTGACAGATAGTACATTAAAAACAACTGGCCTTTCAAGAAAACTAACATTTTTACAGTAGTTGGGCTAACTGAAAACTAAACAGCTCCATCAGATCACCTGGCTGTTAGCTGTAGCTGAAAATGTCACATAATACATACTGCATTACAGTATTTATACCACAGATAAAGGATATTTGCTGTGGTGTTAGCACATCACCAATATCCAACTAACAGCTTGTGATCAAAGGTAAATTAGGTACAGTAGAAGGTGAGATACAGCAGCAGCCAGCGAGACAGAGACAGACCAGGAGAAGGTTCACCAACTTCAAGGCAGCTTACTTTCCATCCATTAATTCAATATTAAGATAAGAAGAACTTTATTGATCCCTAAAGTGAAATTCAATAAGAACTTGTATTAATTAAAACCTCATATTGTAGAACATTAAATACTGAATTAATTTCATGGTCTGCAATGTAAATATCTCTATCAACCCCATCATGACTAACACCTTCAATAATAGAGGACCATCTAGTGTCATTCTGACACATAAAAAAAGAAAAACCACTCACATTTGTGTTATAATTGGATGCTTGCTAAATGCAGCCTATATTTTAATTCATCTACAATGGCTGATAAAAAGTGACCAGGAGCTAAACAGCTGACGTCTCCAGACCAATTCCCCAGCTATGACTCAGTCACAGTAATGAACTGTCTGTCTACTACCTGTAGCAACAGCGCTAGCTTCAGTATTAAGTTAATACTTGACAATATTAGTATCCCCGTCAGTCCAAATGTCAGTAAACTCTACAAACTGCACATCACTTTATTTTGTGCATTTCTCAGCTGGCTAATGATTCAGCCCCATAAATGACAGTATGTTAGCTTTAGCGTTAGCTCGACGCTAACTCCGCTAGCTTGACGCTAACTCCGCTAGCTCGATGCTAACTCCGCTAGCTCGACGCTAACACTGTTAGCGTAAGCGTTTTCAAGTCAACATCTCGACCACTTCAATCATGAATGAACTCTTCATCGATTATAACTCAAACCAGTGCCACTTTGAAAGATTATATCCCAATTTCTAACGTTTAGACGTTGACAGAGACTTAGCTCTGACTCACCCTTCTGTAAGATGCAGCAGGATAGCGCGAGCCCAGGCGGAGTCCCGTTAGAAATGCTTGAGGCGTTCAGGGACACTCGGAAATTGTACACTTCACTCGACAAGGTGGTTAACACAGTGGTTAACTTAATCCACACATTGTGGGAAATAGAAAATAATTTAAAAAATTAACAAATTAAAAATTATTGTCATACCAGCATAATGAATGTGAAAATGACAGCAAAAATACAACTGATAGGACCTAAAAGTTCCCTGGGAGGGTTTGAGTAAGGAGTTGTAGAAGTTTTAGTGGTAGTAGTAGTAAGATGAATAGTGGTAGAAGTGATAGTAGTAGTCATATTAGCTGTAATACTTGTCATAGTACTTATAGTGGGTTTAGAATAGAAGGAGATGTGGGAGGGATAAAAAACTGGGAAAAGGATAGACAGAAAAGGAAAAGGATAGAGTGAAGATCTTCTCTGTCAAATTGTACTGACATGTTGCTGTCTGTGTGTGTGCAGTCATGCTGAATAAGGCTAGAAAAACTGTCTGAAATTGAAAAAAAAAATGGATAAGGAAGAAAATTACCTTAAAACACAGAAAAGTGAGAAGTGGCATTAGTAGTCATGTAAGCAGTAGAAGTCAAAGTAGTTAAGCTCATGGTAGCAGTAATAGTGGCAGTAAAAGTAAGAGACGCAGTAAAAAAATATTTAAAGAAGCAAGAGTAGTGGAGATAGAAGTGAAGATACAAGTAAAAGTGATATAAGTAGTAATTGTAGTAGTAAAACTGGGAATCTGTTTGAAGAATTAAATAATGCAAATCAATGAGAATGACTTTAAAATGGGAAAAAAATTAATCATTAAAAATCGTCAAGTATAAGACAAGTTTGAAGTATTAGGTTTGAATCAGTTTAAATGAGTTTGAATTTGTCTGAAGAATTGACTAATGTATTAATAACGTGATTAATTTTAAAGTGGGGAAAATGTAAATGAATAAATATCCTGAGTACTCCCCATAATGCCCTCAATGAGCTGAATTTTTGGAGCCCTGAATGCTTTCTGTAGCTCAAAGTTTGTGGAACAGGATAGGTGGTGAAGCAGACATATAATTACTGTGTGCACCTGTAGGTCTCATAGACAGAGAGAGAGACTAACGCACACACATTGTCAGACTGTGTGTGTGTGTCTCGTTAATGATTTTATCCTAAACAGCTGTGAGATCAAAGGCATTAATTGACCTACTGTTTGAATGAGAAGCTGCCGAACTGCAGTGAATGTAAGGCCTCTGAACTTCTTCACATAGCGTGATTTCCTTAAATCCCAGAATGTAAAAAAGAACATCGTACGAATCCTCCACCTTTCATGAACACAATGATGTGTTTTTCATGTCTGTACTCTAAAAAATGTGGCCACAGCAGCGAGTTAAAGAAGTCTGAAGCTGAGTGACGATCAGGATTTTCTTGGAGAATAAATACATTAGGGTTAACGGGAGAGATTTCCGCCTATTTGGAAAGTTGGTCACCTGCTGGCCAAGGGGTACGATTTAATGATTTAAAACCTCTTTTGTGAGAAGCAGGACACATATACCTCCATTTTGATGTATTTGTTATGGCTGTGGAGTGAGATTTGTGGGCGTGGGAGCGATATATTCGAGCAACGTTCTGTCGATCAGAGACGAGGTCTGCACTCTAGCTTTTCAAATCCTCACTCTAAACTCTCCAATACACACCCATTATAAAGCCTGAAAATTTGCTGAAAACCACAAGTTGCTTAAAGCTAAATTGTGGAAGAACTGTAAAAGATATCAAAAAACTGACTACAACTGTAATAGTCGACAAGACAATGAACATTTTAAAGCAAAAATGAGGTCTCTAGGTGAAAGTATGCAGAAGTTACAAGGTTCAGAAGGTGGAAGAATAACAGGAAGAATTGGAAGATTTCCCCATTGACTTCAATGTTAAAATTTTTGCATAAAAAGTTAAAAAAATCAAAAAGTATAAAGGGTAGAAAAGTGAAAAGTAATCGCCGTCATGTCCTGAAGGAGAGGAATAGTTTAAAGTTTGAACGGTTGAAATCGCACAAAGTGGAGAAGAGTTATAAAGTGCCAAAAAATGGCGGAAGAAAAATAATAATAATAATAATAATAACTAGAAAAATTGCATTTCCTTGCAGAAAATGCGTGGAAATGCTGAGTGCTGAAAGCTGAAAAAGCAATGCTAAACTGCTAATAAAACATGGAGAAAGGTATAAATGTTAAAGCTGTTGAAGGGGGAAAAAAATATATAAGTTAAATAATTGTAAATAAGAGGTTGGAGAATAAATAGTACGAATATGCTCCTCAAATTGAAATTTGATTCATGCTGAAAGAGGCTGGAAATTTTTTTACAATTACACAAAGTTTGAATGAAGAAGTAAATTACCTTAAAAGGCAAGTACGTGAGAAGTGGCATAAGTTTAAGTTGTAGTACTAGAAGTAGTATGATAATAGGTAGTTGTAGTAGTGATATTAGTAGTCATGTAAGCAGTAGAAGTAGTTTTAGAATAGAAGAAGTAGAAGTCAAAGCAGTAGAGCTCGTGGTAGAAGTAAGAGTAGAAGTAAAAAAATATTAAGAGAAGCAAGAGCAGTGGAGGTAGAAGTGAAGATACAAGTTAAGGTGACATAAGTAGTAATTGTAGTGGTAGAACTGGGATTTTGCTTGAAGAATCAAAACATACATAAATAATGAGAATGATTTTGAAGTGGGAAAAACTTTAAATAATTAGACGTCCTAATGTGTTAAACAGGTTTGAAGTATCCGAAAGGTTTGAATCAGTTTGAATGAGTTTGGATTTGTCTGAAGCATTTAATAATGCATGAATAATGAGAATAATTTTAAAGTGGGAAAAAGTTAAATGAATAAAAATCCTGAGTACACCCCATATTGTCCTCAATGAGCTGAATTTTTGGAGCCCTGAATGGTTTCTGTAGCTCAAAGTTTGTAGTCCTCGCTTTGTGGGTCTTTTCTCATAGACCTCACAAGGCAGCAAGTACAAGAATGTGTGTGTGTGTGTCTCTCCTTAATGACTGCATCCTAAACAGCTGTGAGATCAAAGGCATTAACTGACCTACTGTTTGACTGAGAAGCTCCTTAAGTGCAGTGAATTTATTGCCTCTGAACTTCTTCACATAGCGTGATTTCCTTAAGTCCAAGAATGAAAATAAGAACATCGTACGAATCCTCCGCCCTTCATGAACACAATGATGTGTTTTTCATGTCTGTACTCCAAGAAATGTGGCCACAACAGCGAGTTAAAAAAGTCTGAGCCTGAGTGGCGATAAGGATTTTCTTGCAGAAAAAATACATTAGGGCTAATGGGAGAGATTTCCGCCTATTTGAACAGTTGGTCACCTGCTGGCCAAGGGGTAGGATTAAATGATTTGAAACCTCTTTTGTGAGAAGCAGGACACATATACCTCCATTTTGATGTATTTTTTATGTCTGTGGAGTGAGATTTGTAGGCGTGGGAGCGATATATTCGAGCGAGGTTCTGTCGATCAGAGACGAGGTCTGCACTCTAGCTGATGACATCATCACTCTAAACTCTCCAATACACACCCATTATAAAGCCTGAAAATTTGCTGAAAACCACAAGTTGCTTAAAGCTAAATTGTGGAAGAACTGTAAGAGATATCAAAAAACTGACTACAACTGTAATAGTCGACAAGACAATGAACATTTTAAAGCAAAAATGAGGTCTCTAGGTGAAAGTATGCAGAAGTTACAAGGTTCAGAAGGTGGAAGAATAACAGGAAGAATTGGAAGATTTCCCCATTGACTTCAATGTTAAAATTTTTGCATAAAAAGTTAAAAAAATCAAAAAGTATAAAGGGTAGAAAAGTGAAAAGTAATCGCCGTCATGTCCTGAAGGAGAGGAATAGTTTAAAGTTTGAACGGTTGAAATCGCACAAAGTGGAGAAGAGTTATAAAGTGCCAAAAAATGGCGGAAGAAAAATAATAATAATAATAATAATAATAATAATAATAAAGAAACAGGAGAATAACAATAAGTGGAAATGCCTATCAGCATTTCCACTTAATAACTAGAAAAGTTGCATTTCCTTGCAGAAAATGCGTGGAAATGCTGAGTGCTGAAAGCTGAGAAGCCAAGCATGCAAAACTGTGAAAAAAATGGAGGAGAGTATAAATGAAAAAAACTGTTAAAGGGGTGAAGTGTAATAAGTAGAAGTTGTGTGAATGTTTAAACCGTAACAGAACTGAAGAAGAAGATATTGAAAAAGAGATGAGTTATATGGATGTAAAAACACTGGGAGAGGTAAACCAGAAGCTGTATGAATATTCAGATTGCTTAAGAACTGAACTTGAACATTACAGAAAATATGGTAAAGAATTTTAAAGATGGCTGAAAAGGCCTTCATGTTGGACGAAGTAGAAATGAATTTAAATGAGACATGAACACATTACACAAATATATTTAATTTAAAATTTGCATCAACTTAAAAAATTAAAACTGAGTTTTTACATAAGTAAAACCAAAAGAAAGAAAAAAAAATTGTCAATCCTTTAACATTTTGTGAGCAATGAAATGATTAATCATAAAACATTAAAAAAAATTAAAAAAAAACATCAAAACATAAACACATAAAGAAACAATGTTCCATAGTGCCTTAAATCAAATTATAAACAATTTGTTGGTGAACAGGTTTTGGAAGCAGAAATCTTTACATGGGTGACCAATCTGTCTCTTAAGCCTGAGGTTTTAAGATTGTAGTTGCTGTAATTATTGATGGACAAAGGTATCACATTTTCAGTTGTTTCTAATATTGTTTAGCCCAATCATTAAAGGCTCTTCATACGGTGCTTAGACTGAGGCTAACACCCCATTATTTACTGGATTCAAACTCCAGCAGCCCTGGACCCACATTCACCTCTTTTCTTGTGTATTCGGATTACTAAGCCTTAAAAGTTGGCTCATAAAATTTGTCATGGCACATTAAGCCAAGTCCTGTGTTGTGGGCTTTAAAGACAGACCTTGAAATTTGATTTCAAAGTCTGATACAGGACTGTTATGCGTGTTTTTAAGGGTTTAGATTAGCCTAAGACTAAGTTTGCACATCTGAAAAACCTTTATTATACCTATACATTAAAAAAATATATGAAAATGGTGACTTGAGAGTTATAAAAAAAATAGTTACTAAAATCGGTCAGCAGTATAACAACATAAATGTGAAACACAACAAGTATAGAATAAATGTAAAATAATGTGAAGGGTAAGGTAAAGAATGCAAATGCAAATAATGCAAAGTTATCCAGGCTTGTGGAAATATACAGGCAAAGTAAGGTGAAAGGCTTATTAATTAAATATGGCATTTTAGTATTTTTTAAAGCTAACTGCAGTGAAATGTGGGCCCTCTCATGTAGAAAAAAAAGAAAATTATCGAATAATAAATAATTATAATAATAAATAAAATTAAATGACATGAAACTGAAACTTTAAACAAAATCTAAAATGATCAGATTAAAAAGTAGATTTGAGAACTTGAAATAAATTGATGTAATGGATTGGTCCACCTTACCACCAAAGGGCTTTTCACAGTAGACCAAGGATAATACTGTCATCAGCTCATTGTAGTGGACTGACAATCTGGTCAGCAAAAATAACTCAGCGGTTTACTGTACAGTGTAGTACAGAAGTCTTTTACAGAAATTAAAATAATTTTTTTTAATTAAATCTAAATTTAAGATTTAAAATAATGTGGAGGGTAAGGTAAAGAATGCAAATGCAAAAGGTGCAAAGCCATCCAGGCTTGTGGAAATATACAGGCAAAGTAAGATGAAAGGTTAATAACTTAAATATGGCACTAAGGTATTTTTTATAGCATGTATTGGTCCACCTTACCACCCAAAAGGCTTTTCACAGTAGTTAGACCAAGGCTAATACTGTCATCAGCTCATTGTAGTGGACTGACAATCTGGTCAGCATTTTAGATCCCAGTGTTTTCTTATCCAAACATTCACACTACTTGTCGTACTGAAATGCTGGGTTGTCTTCACGATGATAGTTTCTTTTTTAAAAGTTTTCTACTATGGAGAAATACATTTTAAGGATAAGCATAAAAACTTTGTTCCTCTATGAAATCCCTTCACACAGCTCGTAAACGAGCCCTGTGTTTGAGGATTGTGACGGCAACCTTCAGCAGGGATTGTTTCACACTGTAATGCTGGGATCACTGCTGTCCAAAACATTAGCCCAAGACTAAGCACACGTGAAAAACCTGCAGTGTACCTACCAGCTGAAACCCAAAGTACATCATTAATTTCTAAAACACGTCTTCTCTTGTAGGTAAATTTGAGGGATATGGTGAGCATATTAAAATGAGAAATTCAGCTGCCTGCAACAACTGAAGTAACTGGTATTATTTCCCTTCATCAGTGTTGGTCATCTTTTGATATAAGGACAGATACACAGTAAAAGGGAAAGAAAATACTAAAATAAAATAGAACAAATAAAGTCCAAGAAACATAAAGGAAACTTAAAATATTAACAGATATCGACAACCGATCACTGAATGTAGAAAACAGGATTCAAAACAATATAAGAGTAATAGTTGTCCTGTCCTGAAGAAAATCAGTCAGTTCTTCAAGTGAGTACTGTGTTCTGTCTGGGCACTTTTGTTCAAAACCAAAAGCAGAGCCCGCTACAGTTCAGAGTGAAGGTTTAGAGTGAGGTAATGTTTTGACCTTTGACCTGTGGTTGTAGAATCGCTGTGTGCAGTTATCAGTGTTCGAGTTGACAGCATCACTGGAGTCAGGGAAAGTTTAAAGCTGCAGTAAAGATGAACTGATGATCTGAATGTGATGACATCTGCTGCAGCTTGCTTCACAGGACTGCAGGACTTGTAGGATCACCATTAGTTAGCTGCACTTGCTACACCGTGGATGAACAGACAGTGACTTGAAGTAGGAGAATGTAGTAGGGTGGCTGCATGATGTCCACCTTTGGTGCGTTCAGCTGCCTGAGTGTCTAAGCTGTTCTTCCTGTCTTAACTGGCTTGAAGAAGACCTGGGAGAAACACTGCTGTTAAAGACGATGATATCAGCAGAGCTGTACAATAGCATCACAAGCATTAATACAGCAGCTAAGATAACTAAGAAAAAATAAATGAACACAAGTTCACTAAGACATTACCTCAGACGTTCTTGAAGAGGGGTTTATCTCTTGGAGGTTCAGCAGGAACGAGCCCAGTGAGTGACAGGTGCTACAGCATCAGTTCTGCTTCAGCCTGGTGTCTGGTGGTCCTTGAGAGCTGCTTCAGGACATCTGGAGCATGAGCAGGTAAAACACATGTTTGTGTAGTCCATGAGAGAAGGGTCCTGGTGGGTGCTGCAATCTGTCCAGCACAGCGATGATGGTTGTTGAGAGCAGCAGGGGGATGGTGTGGAGGATGTCATCTCTTCTTCACCTCTGACCAAAGACTGGGTTAAACAGCAGGTAGACTGTGTCTTTGAGTGGTCCAAAGTGATGTGTTTACTTCTGGTTGACGGTTTGATAATTTTTTTCTGCTCATAAGTGAGCTAGTCAGGACAGCACTAATGGTCAGGTCAAAAATGGCAGAGACAACTGAAGAAGAAAAAAAAAAAATACCCAAACAAAAGGAAACTTAGCTTTACTCTACTGTACCTACAGGTGATGTGTTTACTTTTGGTTGACAGTTTGATAATTTTTTTCAGTTTACAGTGAGCTAGTCAGGATAGTACTAATGGGGGTCAGGTTAAAGATGGCGGGGACAACTGAAAAAAAAAATAATAATAAAAAATAAAAACCTACCCAAAGAAAAGGAAACTTAGGTTTGCTCTAGTGTACTTACAGCCACCCATGCTAAGAGAGTGGTGTAAAGTTGGGTGGAGAAAAGGGGGGTTTCAGCTGGTAGGTAACAGAACATCAGAAAGTGTGTGTTCATTAGGGAACACACACTTTCTGATGGAGGTTTTTAATTTTAGCTGCTGTATACAGTATTGTACACAGCAGCTGAGAGTTTTGGCCTGTGCATTTATCAATCCGCACCCACCCTCCCTATGTCCAGTCAAGTCAAGTTAAATGGATTAACTTGACTTGACTGGACTTGATAAATGCACAGGCCAAAAATTGTCATTTATAACATTTGAATAGTTGGAAAATTTTACAACCTGAAAAATATTTTCTATCTAAAAATTCTGAACCATAAAAATATATTTTGCACAAGTAAAATTTACAATGACCAAACACATTTCAATCTGTACTGAAAATATGAGCATAACATTAGCCACAACTTCTCTGGTTTGTCTTTTCCTTCAGAGCAGTTTCCTCTATGACCTGTTGGATGAAATGACACAGTAAGTGGCGTTGTGGTAACTGTAGTAGGTCTGCATGATACCTGAGGAGAGACATAGCTGAGGTCGTGAGATGAAGATCAGGTCCAGCAGTGTGTTCTTGTCCGTTGTAGCAGCAGTGATCAGTTGACCATATCCCTTGGACTGAAAGAAATCCAGAATTGGCTTACTTGCATTAGAAAAGAGATTCTCATTGAAGTCGCCACAGACGATGATGGGATGACAGTCCATGATCTCAAGTGAGTCCAGAAGGCTTCCCAGATTGGACAGGAATGATGGCACACTGTAGTCTGGAGGTCTGTACACAGCTGCAATCAGAGCACTTACAGGAGATTCAACCTTCAAAGCCACAAACTCAAGGTCAGTCACATTATTCAGGTACTGTTTCTCCACAACCTGCAAGTGGTTTTTCACATAAACAGCGACTCCACCACCTCCTTTACTGGCCATCTGTGGAAAGTTAGTGTAGGACAGGTGTCTGTTGCGTTTGAACATGGTGTAGCCCTCAAACTGGAGACTGTCCGCCACAAAGGAGCCCTGTAGGTGAGTTTCTGTCAGACACAAAACATCTGCAAGACACAGTTCATGATGGCTTTTGATGTCATTCACATGAGCAGGTAATCCTTCGGTGTTGTGATGAATGATGCTCACAGTGTCCTATCTGCTAAGAGAATGCTGGATCTGGAGAAAAGGCATGAGGTGATCAAAGTTAGCTTGCGTCATGGTCTCCAAAGATACAGTGACTGCAGGGTTAGCATGGATTTTACTCTCATCCAAATCAAGCATGTGCAGTCCGCTGAGAGAGGTCACTCGACTGATAGCTACGTAGGCCATGCCGGGCTCAAAAATGTGCTTCAGTGAGACAACAGCAGATTTTCTGGTCATACCTTGAACCTTGTGTATCGTGCATGCAAAGGCAAGTTTCACAGGAAACTGTCTGCGTACCACTCCTTTCTGTTGCAGAGCCTCTTCAGATCTCTCGATGTACACAAGATTGTCTCCTCGAGTACGATAGCTCCTGCCAGCTGTTTCATCATCCATCTTGAGACCAAGCATAGTGACAAGAGTAGAACTGTTGTTTTCAGAGCTTATGAGACGGCCTACTGTAGCAAATGATCCGTTCACCAATCCTTGAGACACATCAATGTTTCTGGTAAGCATGACTCTAGCACCTACTGCAACATCTAGGGTGTCAGGTAGATCATTTCTGCTTCCATGACATGGTGCACCTTGTCTTTTCATGTGTCCAGTGTGTGGGTCTTTTTTAAAGTCATCTGCATCAATGGTGGTGATATCAGAATGGAGCAGAGATAGTGTAGCAGAGTTGTGTGCTGCAACTTGTTTGTTTGTAGCAAAAATGTGCAGGACATCAGAGGGACACAGTTGTGGTTCAGTGACACGCTGTGACAGCAGATCTCTGTCAGCTTCAGAAAGCTCATCTGACCTTGTTTTCACACGGAGTCTGTTCAGCATCTCGGCAAAAGTTTTGTCATCCTTCTGTCGCATGATCTCATCTAAAGTGATCACCTGGAAGTTGTCTCTCCAGAGGTCAAGCTCACTTGGATCATAGACACAGAGTGGTTTGGACTGTCGCACAGGCGGTAGCTGGTAAAAGTCTCCCACAGCAATGACTGACATTCCTCCAAAGGGTCTGTGGCTGCCTTTAATCTGTTTCAGTCTCATATCCACATAGGCAAACAGAGGCTTCGACACCATGGAGATTTCATCAATGATGATGATTTCAGCATTTAAAAGCTCACACCTGATTTCATCAAGTTGGTTCCCAAGACCTTGAAAAGGAGGTTTCAAACTTCTGGGCAGCTTGAGGAGAGAGTGCAGTGTTGTTCCAGAGATGTTAAAGGCTGCAGTTCCGGTGAAAGCAGTCAACAGCACAGTCGGGTTTGAGATGTCAGCTTCTTCAGCACGTCTAGGTAGTGTTCTCAGAATCTTTGATGCTTCTGAATGAATGCATTTAATGAGATGTGACTTTCCAGTGCCAGCACCACCATTGATGTAGTAGAAAAACTGCTCTGGTTGTGGTCCACAGACTCGTTTTATGCACCAGTCTCTTACTGCATAGAACACACATGCCTGTTTCTGGTTCAGACTCTGATACATTTGTCGTAACCGTGTGGGATCGATTGTAGGGGGCTCTCTCATGACTCTGGCCTCTGTAGCAGCATTTGCTTGTCTGCTGTAATCCGGTACATCCTCTTGGACATTTTCACACTGTCTGGCATCCAGTTCATCGATACACTCCAACCTCACCAGTTCAGATTCAGGTGCCAAATTACACCATTCATCGACCACACCTCTGTTCTGTTCAAAGTCCTCGAGAGCAGAGTCAATTTCCTCACTGTTTTTTTCATATCTCTCTCTGTTTCTTTTCACAATGAGTTTCACACTCAGGGGTCGGTCAGAATACGGCAGCTGAACCACACCTCTCTCATAGAATGACTCATACGTGGGAAAATATGGTCTTTTCAGCTCATCGTCTGATCTGTATGGAAGATACAGTCTAAGCAATGTGCCGTAAAACTGCTCAGGGTATTTCTCTTTGGATATGCGGCGATACCTGATGACAGCAGCGTTGTCACTTTCTCGTCTCTGTATAAAGCCTAGTTCATTCAGCAGAGGTACCACTTTCTTGCCCTTGGTCTGTTGTCCATACACCAGTCTGCAGGTAGACGCAAAATCAGCCATGCACATCTCTTCAAACTCTGGTGATTCAGGTCTGGATTTGTACTTGTCTGTCAAGGATGTCATCCACACATTCAAGCTGTCTGGTGTTGTGTTGTCAAGGCTTGACACAGGCAGACTCATTTTCACTGGGTTGTCATCAGTTGGGACAAAAACCACACTGCGTGAACTCTTTTTCATGTTCAGTGAAGTCACTCGGGCAACAGCTTCTTGTGCTGATACTTCTCGCTTTTTGGAATACGCCTGCATGACCGCTTTCATTTCATCACATTCATTGACACATTCTCTGTCGGAGTTCTGAATGAGTGTTTGCAGGTACTGGCTCACAGAGTTCTCACTTTTACACATGTACGTACATATGTAATGGATCAGACTGTAGTAGCTGAGAATGAACTGCACGTCAATGTTTGCATCCCAAGCTTTGAGCAGGTGAGGGTTGTAGGTGTTTACCCAGCAGTCTTTTGGCTCACGCTTCAGAATGATGTTGCTGGACTGACTCATCACATTCATGTGTTTCTCATACTCATCAGCGGTTAAGTCACAGACAGACAGGAGCTGTTGAAAACTCATGGATTCAGTTTGTGTCTCATTCAGCAGCTGATTCAGTGGTGCAAGTTTCTCTTTGGCTCTCTTAAGTCTCTCTGACTCCTCATCATCACCCACAGGTCTTGTTATCATTGTCTGCCTGGAGGGTGGTTTTGGGAATCCAAATCGGCATCCAGAACTTGCACTTTTGAAACATGTCTTTGAGTGGTTCTTACTGTGTATTTGCACTTCTTTGACCTTTTTGTACAGTTCAGGCTGTTTGTTTGGGTCAGGGAGCTGAGCAGAGATGTGTTTGGACACAAAGTCACACACAGTTTTGTCAGAGTCTCTCTCAAACACAGGTGCACCTTCTACCCACAAAAGACCATGTATATGAGGACTTCCTCTGTGCTGAAACTCGAGACGCCAAAAGAAGTCAAAAACTTTGCCCAGGGGTTGTGCAGGAGACATGATCAGATCTCTGTACAGTGCTTCAACACGCTTATCAAACATGCGCATCGTTGTCACAGGATTGCTTCTCAGAATGTCACACTTTGTGGACCAGTCGAGCTCTTCAAAATTCACCTCCTCACCTTGTTGTAATTTTATTGCAATAATCACCTCAGGCCAACGCATTTCTGCTGCAGAAAATGTGACAAAGAAAGTAGGACTGCCCAACTGCCTGATCATAGCAAACAGATCTTTTGTAGTTTTGTCCCAGTAGGCTGGTGTTCCTCTGAGCGGCTGCATAAATCTGATAGCATCTCTGTTTCTCACCAGTCTCTCCACTTCGTATTTGTCTCTCAACATTCTGGATGTTATTTTACGTCCGTCTCTGGTCAAAGGTTTGCCTTTGCGTAACTGTATTGACATGCTGGAGGTAGCCAAGTGTATTTCAGTCACAAACTGTGCAAAGAACAGGTAGTTGGTATCTTTGGCAAAGCGATCATCAACACCAAAGAGCCTTGCTTTAAAATAACTACTGGGTGATAGTTTCATTGGTCTGTTTTCATCCAGTGTATTCTCACCAGTGGGAAACTGAACAGGAAACGCCATGGCCTCTAGTTTGGGTGTTTTGAAAAAACTGACTGGATTGTTTCTCTCTGCTGGAGCAACTGAGTATGTAGAGTCACTGAAACACAGTATCTCCTCAGAAACATCACGTGGCTGAAGGCACGACTCCAAAACAACACCACCATTAGATATGTCTGCGTCCCGTTGTTGTGTCTGATCATCATTGTCCTGGGTCTGACTTTTATCACACAGCTCTGTGTTTTCATCCTCATTTTCAACATTAGTTTCAGCGTCATGCATGGCAGCAGCCTCAATTCTATCAATTTCCATCAAATCCTCATCATCATAGTCGTCATCATTCATTGTGTTATCATCATCATCCTCATCCTCATCCTCATCCTCATCACCATCATCAGGAAGTGTGGGGTCACATAACTCCTCCTCATCTCTAATAGTGATGTCTTCATACTGGGGGTGTATCTCTTTCAGTTTATGCAGAGCCTGCACTAGCTTGGACCAGGTAACAGTCTGAAACAGATGGTGACCTCTGTAACTCAAACGTCTCTTCAGTTTTACTCTCATCACCTGAGACTCATTTCTCAATCTGGGTAGAGCCTGAATTGTTTCCTGGACTTCAGAGGGAACACATACAACATTACCATGTATAGCTCTCTGTCTGCCTTTGGGAAGAGGAATGATTTTGGCAAATGTTATGCACTTTGCTATCAGATGTCTCTCCAGTATGTTGAGGTCACACAGCTCAGGTGGTATGTCAGCAAGCTCCAAGTTGTTTGCTATGGCAAGTTTGGGCATGGATCCATTTTTCAGATGGTCATGGCAGGTGTGACAAATCCACTCAGTCTTCCTCTCATCAGGGACAGTGCACTGATTTCTGCAGTTATCATTACACTCATGGACGTACTGACCTTTGAGACAAGCTGAAACCAAGACTGGATTTTTCACATAGTTGGACCTCTTGCACTTTTGCACCTGGTTTGGAAATGAGGCTTTGTGGCAAACTGTGCAAACATGGGTGGGACCAGCTTTAATGTGTGATCGGAAATCATTTATGGCACTTTCAATAAGTGGGTTTTCACTCTCTCTGTCAGTCTCACATGTTTGTCTACTTATCCGTTTGTATTTCTTTGATATTTTCAATGCACACCTCATTTTATGCATCGTCCTGTATGCAAGATCTGTCTTATACCTGTCTCGCATTATTTGTCTCATCAGTTGTCTGTGTCGCTGATGGAATATTTCATCATTTGCATATCGATAATTGACATATAATCGCTGTCTTTGCCTGAAATTAACGTCCTCTGAGTATTTTCTCCTGATATATTCTTTTTGTCTGCCTTTAAAATCAACATTTTCTCTGTATTTTTTAGTGATGTAGTCTTTTTGTCTGCCTTTAAAATCAACATTTTCTCTGTATTTTTTAGTGATGTAGTCTTTTTGTCTGCCTTTAAAATCAACATTTTCCCTGTATTTTTTAGTGATATAGTCTTTTTGTCTGCCTTTGAAGTCAACGTTTTCTCTGTATTTTTTAGTGATATAGTCTTTTTGTCTGCCTTTGAAGTCAACGTTTTCTCTGTATTTTTTTGTGATATATTCTTTTTGTCTGCCTTTGAATTCAACATTTTCTCTGTATTTTCTTGTTATACCTAATTTTTGCTTCAGTCTGAAGTCTGTGCTTTCCCTGTATTTAGTTGTGATTTTTTGTCTTTTCTTTGTCTGTATTTCAGGATTGACAGAATATTTCTCACTTGAATAAGACTTTTTCTTTGCTTTGTATGTTTCATCCTTAGCATACTTTTTTCTCTCTTTCATTTTTTTATCCTCTTTCCCTTGTGATGTCTTTTCAGAGGCCATTAGTCTCCTCTTATATTTTTTCCTTTGTTCTTTGTTCAGTTTTGACAGCTTAATGGAGATGTCATGAAGGACATTGTCACTGGCAACAGGTATATTTATTAATGGTTGAGTCAAATTTGATTGAATCTCCTGAGTTTCCTTTAATGTGACAGAATTATTGCTGATCTGACCTTGTTGATGAGCTTGTTTTTCCGTCAGGGTTGAGACATTCTGTGATGTGTCATGAGAGTCATCACGTACAGTAGTGTTCATCTCTGGAGCAAGAGAGTCAGGTCCAGCTGATGTGACAGAACACTGGCTGAAGTCGATCAGTGGTTCTGGTTCAGTTTCCATGTCACATTCAGTGTTTCCATGGACATCGGTGTTCATCTGTAGAGCAGACGGACTTTCTCTGGCAGGGAAAGCAACTGGCTTAAGCTCATAGCGACAGGACGCTGCTGTGTCCAATATGTGGTGATACCTGATGAGCCTGGCAATCATGTCACTGAGGCGTGTGAATGTTACCATGACAGCAGTACCAGGAGTAGGTGTGGCCTGAAGCAGAGGCAAACCGTTAGCTGTCCTAGCATGTGGGTCAAAGAAACCGTACCTGCCATCTCTGGTTCTGAAAACTGCAATGCACAGTGAAGTCATTAACAGCAAAGCATACTGCACATCTGATAATAAGCAGCTCAGTCCTGAAACGAGGTCCAGAAAGGTATCAACAGCTCCGGGATCCGGATCTCCAAACGTACCGTATCTAGACAGCTGTAACATGTCAACACTCTGCGTGTGTCTGCGTGCAGGAACCTGGTGAGGGAGCTCATCGGTTGTCAGAAAGTTGTGATCACGAACAGTTTTTCTGACTTCTCTGTACATCACATCACCTTTATCCAAAACACGGTCCAGGTCTGCTCTGGTGATGTGTTCGCTCTCATACAGGAATGCTAGAAATGTCAGTGAGTTACAGGTGCACTGCTGGTTTCTGGATTGGCCGTATTTCAGAGACGCTTGGCTGCGTGACGCACAGACACTTTGTTCACCTGAATCACTAACAACGTTCACATTTCTTACCCGAGAAGAGCCTGATACAGACTGATAATTACTGTGGTTTCCCCTTTTAACAGTGTCTGTATGTGATACCTGGGTTGAAAATGGCTTGTCAGTTTGGGTTACGCGGTTTATCTGTCCAGAGTTGGATGGACTGGGAGTGCATGACACACTAGGAAGTTTTCTCTTCAACATGTCTGCATATGTTACCTGTTGTACACCTGGATCATTAGTTTCACCTCTGTGGTTTACCTGTTCAGAGTTAGACGGACCTGCTGCAGGTGACTCACTTAAACGTCTCCTCTTAAGCATGTCTGCATGAGATACCTGTGGTTGACATGACGCACTTTGACCTCCCTGTTTCACAGCATCAGATACTTCAGACCTCTTGACCTCTCCACTGCTCTGAGGAATACCATCTGCTTGTCCAGTACTTACATGGTCAATGTCATGAAACCTCTGCCAGCGCTGGCTTGCAACCTGTGACCTCTTACTTTTCCTTGGCATTGTAGCTGCTCTTTCACAACAATGTGTTTATACAACAATGTAAAATTAATAAGCACCAGTATAGACAAAACGCTTTATTTCTTACAGAGAGGAGGTTATTTAACAGCTCTTATAGTCTCCAAAATATCTAATTTATAACTGTGTGTATACCACAATAGTTTTCTAAGGGAATCCTAGGCAAGGCTGTATAAATGTTTTCAGAAAAAAACACAAATCGGCAACAATTTTTAAATTTTTGAACTTTGTGCTTGAAATAATATGTAACTCAAATATTCTATATGAAACGTGTTTATTTTTTCTTTCAAAATCAGGGACGCAGATATGGTGGCGCTGATGACACTTCTGGTGAAACTCTGGATCCACAGACAGGAAAGGAAAACCTAGAACAAAAATCAGACTTGTGCAAAATTAGGGATTATTTTTTCAAAACAGTGGTTGTATTAAATGTACAGCTTTTCAAAAGTTTGGTTTCTCAAAAAAAAGGTTGATTTAATAAAAAGGTTTCTCAAAAAATGTTGATTTGCTACAATAGGTCTCAATGATTTGTTACAATAGGCCTCAATGATTTGTTACAATAGGTCTCAATGATTTGTTACAATAGGCCTCAATGATTTGTTACAATAGGTCTCAATGATTTGTTACAATAGGCCTCAATGATTTGTTTCAATGGTATCAAAGATTTGTTTCAATGGTATCAAAGATTTGTTTCAATGGTATCAAAGATTTATTCAAGGATTGTATCAGTAGCCAGAGTGGGATACAAGGGGGATAGAAAGACAGAGTGGCTTTTCAATCAGACAGAGCGGTAGAGGAGACAGGAAAGACAGAGCGACCAAAATGATAGGGGAGAGTGTGTGTGTGTGTGTGTGTGTGTGTGTGTGTGGTGGTGGTGGTGGTGGGGGGGACTGGACAGGATACCTGTAAGACACAATGGAAAAAAACATTAATCTTTTATTAAAGAAATAAAATCAAATGAACCAACATCCACCCAAAGCTAATCACATTATAATGTGCTTTTACTCAACCCACCAAGTGGCTGCCCTCAACTATACATCTATCAAAAGTCAAGTTGATTCAAAAGCTGGAAGTGACCATTGTCTTGTTCGATAACCCCTCAATCAAATTCATAAGGACTAAAAATCCAAAGTGTTCATAAGAGTTAATAAAAACTTTAGGATATGAAGAACTTCATATGTGAACCATGGCACACTGTCTTATTCCTGAAAGTGTCATTCCTGTGTGAACTTACGTCGAGTCGCCACAAAGCGGTCTGCACTTGGAGACAGGACAGAGTTGGCAAAAAGGAAAATGAAAAAGAAAAAAAAGAGACAAGAGATTTTAAGTTTAATTGTAGAAAACCAGCACATCTCACTGCATTGCAGTTTCAACTGTAATCAGCCGGCAAAATTAATTAAGTGTTATTTAAAATGGTTTGTGTTACAATGAAAATGTGTTGCAGTTTGTCAAATAAGGACATAATGTCAGGTTTTTACATGATATGTTTAAAAAAGTAACAGTGTAAACATTTTTAAGTTACTTTATTTGTGCACTTACAGCTGAGTCGCCAACAGTGAATAGGCCAGCAGTAGAGATAGCATCGAGTTCAGGAGAGAAAAGACAGGGACAAAAAATAGAGAAATTTAGTTGCAAAAAAATCAGCATCTTATAGTTTACTGCAATCACAACTTTTCACTGTGGTTCATTAGTTTTCTCATTTTTTAATCAAAGTCTACAATTTGTGGCGCTTGATTAGTAAAAGGATGTTACTGCAGCTCCCTTGGCCTGTAAAAAATGTTTGTTACAATGGAGAGAAAATGCACAAACACAATGAAGGACCTCTTCACTTTTTACTTTCTTATGCAAGTTATTGAGGTGAAATACAAAACAGTGAAATATAATTATAAACTGCAGAGCAAAAATGTAACATTTGAGTGATTGCCCAATAAGTACATACAGTATATACCATCAGGTCCATAAATATTGGGACGTCAACACAATTCTCATCTCTCTGGCTGTAAACACCACCACAATGAATTTGAACTGAAACAAACATGGTGTGCTTTGACTGCAGACATTCAGCTTTAATTTAAGGGTATTTACATCCAAATCAGGTGCACGGTGTAGGGCAAAGAAGTGGAATGTTATGAAATGGCCAAGTCAATCACCTGACCTGAATCCGTTTGAGCGTGCATTTCACTTGCTGAAGATAAAACTAAAGAGAAAATGCACCAAATACAAGCAGGAACTGAAGACAGTTGCAGTCGAGGCCTGGCAGAGCAACACTAGGGGTGAAACCCAGCGTCTGGTGTATCTATCTGTCTTAGACAGCAAAGGATTTGCAACCATATATTGAAAAGTGAAAGTTTGATGTATGATTTTTGGTTTGTCCCAATACTTTTGGTCCCTTAAAAAGTGAGAGGCACATATACAAACTGTTTTAATTCCTACACCTTTCACCTAATGTGGATGTAAATAACCATATATTAAAGCTGAATGTCTGCAGTCAAAGCACATCTTGTTTGTTTCATATAAAGTCAACTGTGGTGGTGTTTACAGCCAGAGAGATGAGTATTATGCTGATGTCCCAATATTTATGGACCTGACTTTAAGCGTGAACTTACACTTCAGAGTTGATAGGGATTTTCGCCCAGGTCAGAGGACAAGTTGAGGCAGGAGGAGGGGGGAGAGGGAGGGAAAGAGATTTTTAATACACTAAAAAAACCACTTCATTCAAAATTTATCTGAATGATTTTCTCACTTAATTATTGTCACAATCAAGATTCAGACTTTCGCCAGCATTTTTTAAATAAATTAGTTCAGTAGTGTAGTAATATTGTTAGCACACTATTGTCTTCTAGGAAAAAACTGTATCCCATCTATGATTTTCATATAGGATATACAACAGTGTTACAGATAGATCAACATTTCGTATCAATTTAAACTCAGTACTTGAAAAATGCATCATATGTTGTAGATTATCTTGAATGACATGTTGTTTAACAGGATTAAGCTAATCATTAATCCAGTTATTTTTATTTTGTTTGTTGTCAGTCTTGGTCAAAACACTTATACTTACCAACAAATGCACTGGTGAGGATATTTCTTCTGTTTGTTTGAGACAAGAAACAATACATTAGTGTTGTCTGACAGATAGTACATTAAAAACAATAGGCCTATAAAGAAAACTAACATTATTACAGTAGTTGGGCTAATTGAAAACTAAACAGCTCCAACAGATCACCTGGCTGTTAGCTGCAGCTGAAAATGTCACACATAATACATACTGTATTAAAGTATATACACCTCAGATAAAGTATCTTTGCTGTGGTGTTAGCACATCACCAATATCCAAATTAACAGCTTGTTATCAAAAGAAAAGAAGGTACAGTAGAAGGTGAAGTTCAGTAGCAGCCAGCAAGACAGAGACAGACCAGGAGCAGGTTCACCAATTTCAAGGCAGCTGACTCTCCATCCATCAACTCAATATTAAGATAAGAACTTTATTGATCCCTAAAGGGAAATTCAACTGGAATATATTTATTAATTGGAACTTTGTATTGTTAAACATTAAATACTGAATTAATTTTATGTTTTGCAATGTAAATATCTCTATCATCCCCATCATGAATAAAACCTTCAATAATAGAGGTCCATTCTGACACATAAAAAAAGGAAAACCACTCACATTTGTGCTATACCTGGATGCTTGCTAAATGCAGCCTATATTTTAATACATCTACAATGGCTGATAAAAAGTGACCAGGAGCTAAACAGCTGACGTCTCCAGACCAGTTCCCCAGCAATGACTCAGTCACAGTAATGAACTGAACCTGTAGCAATGGTGCTAGCGTCATTAGTTAGCTAGTTAGTCAGTTTATACTTGACAATATGAGTATTCTTGTCAGTCCCACTGTCAGTAAACTCCACAGCCTGTACATCATTTGGCATGCTTTATAGTACCGCAGCGGCTTACATATTCACTTTATTTTGTGCTCAGCTGGCTAATGATTCAGCCTCACAGCTGAAGGTATGTTAGCTTTAACGTAAGCTCGACGCTAGCGGCGCTAACTCGGCGCTAGCTCGACGCTAGCGGCGCTAACTCGGCGCTAGCTCGACGCTAGCGGCGCTAACTCGGCGCTAGCTCGACGCTAGCGGCGCTAACTCGACGCTAACAGCGTTAGCGTATGCTTTATAGTACCGCAGCGGCTTACATATTCACTTTATTTTGTGCTCAGCTGGCTAATGATTCAGCCTCACAGCTGAAGGTATGTTAGCTTTAACGTTAGCTCGACGCTAGCGGCGCTAACTCGGCGCTAGCTCGACGCTAGCGGCGCTAACTCGGCGCTAGCTCGACGCTAGCGGCGCTAACTCGATGCTAACAGCGTTAGCGTATGCTTTTTCAACTCATTATCTCGACCACTTCAATCATGAATAAACTCTTCATTGATTATAACACAAACCAGTGCCTTTTGAAACGTTACATCACCGTTTGGAGTGTTCAGAAGTTAGAGAGACTGTGCTCTGACTCACCTTCGTCGAGGTCGGAGAAGGATAGTGCGAGCCACCAGTGCGTCGCGGTAGAAATGTTTGAGGCGTTCAGGGACACTCGGAAATGTCATACTTCAGACGACCGAAAGGCAGTGGTTCAATCAATTCATTTTAATTGTTTTCTAGTACTAATAGTAGCAAGACTAGTTGAAGTAGAAGTGATGTAAGTTGTAGTTGTAGAAATGGAAGTGGGATTTTGTTTGAAGAATTGAAATATGCATGAATAGTAAAAATGATTTAAAGTGGGGAAAATATAACTAATAAAAAATCCATAAGTATTAGAAAGGTTTGAAGAATCAGAGAGGTTTGAATAAGAATGAGTTTAAATTTGTTAGAAGAATAATGCATAAATAATGAGAATGATTTTAAATTAAGGACAATTTAAATGAATAGAAATCCTCTGTGGACTCCATAATGTCCTCAATGAGCAGAATTTTTGAAGCCCTAAATGT